GCAACTGTCGCTGAAGTCAACTCAGAATTTGGCTCTGGGTCCTGCGCACCCGGCGTGAACTGCTACTTTTGAATCACTTGTGATTCAATCACGTTCATTCTCAATCACGATGATTTTTCACAGTGATTCGTGATTCTTCGTGATCGCTTCTGATTGGTACAGAACATTCTTTTCACTTTTCACGAATTATGTTGTTCTTAGGTTATATATGTATTATAATATGGTCTAAAAGCAATGTTAATATAATTTTAATCCAATTTAAATTTGACTCATTTGTAGTTTCTTGAATTTTCGCTAAGGGGAGATAGTGATACGCTAACGATAATAATTAACATGAACCGCTTCTGAAACGCCATGTTTCGGATCACGGTCGTGATTGTGTGATCACCGTGAAAAATCAGTATTAGTGATTTTTCACGCCATCCCTAAGTTAAAAAGGCACAGAATTAATTTCTACCCATAAGAAAAGGTGTCTAAACGTGCATCAGGGCCGTTAGTATCTCTAGCGCCGTCCCTGTCGGTTAGAAACGCGGCTTTATCGCGAAGACGTCGTCGTCGGGCGTAGGCATCGATAAAGTGTCGTATCTGGTCGACGAAGATTCCACGAATCTGCGGATCTTACTTGCTCGGTAAGCCGAGGACCACGTCGACGAGGTAAACGACCGACGCGAGAACACGGCGTCTGTCCCACGAATTGAAACTGGCCTTCCCATAGATCGTATTCGAGGCCGGCTCCAGGTCCAGGAGACGGCCCCTCCCCGGAAGTAACTTGATTGTCGCGTTCGGAATGCTCGATCGAGTTTGTTTCTGTCTGCTCTTCATAAACGTTCGAATCCATTCTGATTCGCGATCTGTCACGTCACGCCTGTGACAGGTAGACTCGTCATCCTCTTCGAGTAATCCAATGACCGTGGATCATTCCGTTAGAACGACGTGCAAGCACGCCGGTTGTTTATCCATCCTCGTGCACAGTGTCTGTCTCTCTAACCTAACCTCGAAAACACTACGTCACCGCGTGAATCGTTCGGGCCCCGTTAACGAACGTGTGGACGATCGAAAATTCACAGAACCGAGAGGCAAACGCTACGCGCACTTCCGTTTCTTCGAGCGTACTTCGAACATAATCGGTCGTCTCGATCGCCCACTGTTAGCTGGGAGTAGCCGCTAGGCTATTTGTGCACTCCATACTGCGTATCGACTAACTCCGACGAATCCACGTATAGGTATAGCGCGCACGATTGCATCGAACAGTATACCACAAGCCACCCCTACGCGCGCTTTAATAAATTCAATTAAAGCCCGAGCTTTCTTGCTACGGTTAATTAACAAATTAGGGTGAGTTCCAGAGGTGGTGTGAATATCGATTTCTTGTTTGGTGCGGTTGCTTCTGGGTAGAATACCCAGTTCTTGGACACCCACGAGAAATTGGACCAATATTTTGAACATTTTGTTATACTTGTATTATTTAAAAATATTTGGTATGAATATAAACAAGAGCTGTACAGTCAGGGACAAAAATAAGTGGACAGTTACTGGAAGTAGGTAAAGATGAAGTTTAATCGAATTAACGTAACTGTTATAAACTTCAGTTTTATTAATTATATATTAGAGATCCTTACTTCACGTGTATCGAAATACCCGGGTACACGGGTAATTAATGGATCCGTGGTTTAATCCGTGTATTTTTAATACACGGGTATCCGGGTATCGAAATACACGGATATCCAGGTACGTATACGTGCATGGAAATACACGGGTACGCACATTGACTTTAACATTTATTTTAACTAATAAATAAAGTATCACAAATTACACTAAAAAATGTATTCTGTTATATTTATTCTTCTTATGTTTATATCTTTTTCATTTATTTGTTTTATTGCTTGTCAATATTTTCAAAATAAATAAGGATCATTATTTTATGTAGTATAAAAGCTTTTTTTAATTTTTTTAGCTTTTTTAGCTTTTTTCAAGTATTAATTTCAATATGTATTGCATTTGTCACGCATTTTGAGTATAGTGTCCACTTATTTTTGTCTCCTGCAAAATAGCAATCAGTTTTGTTAAATACAGCATGTTTACACAAAGATGCAAGTATGAACTTCAATTATTCACTACATAATGTACATACTATAAGGATATATAATTAATAAAACTGAAGTTTATAACAGTTACGTTAATTCGATTAAACTTCATCTTTACCTACTTCCAGTAACTGTCCATTTATCTTTGTCCCTGACTGTATATGAACATAATTAATGCTTTTACAAGTGATGGATATTTTTAACTCTGAAACTGAAATTATGATAATTTATTTCAATATAAACGACGTCATATTGTAATATGCGCATGAATATTATTCATTCGTTCTTTTTGAGTAAATGATTGTAATCTCGTTAACTAATGATATACGTAATGACTTAATGAGATAGAATTCCGACATATGCCAGTCATGCACGCCCCTAATTATCTTGCCACACATGGCGTATGCCATTCTCCAAAATAAACGATGTAAACATTGTAAACATTTCATACACTAAAATTTGAATATTAAAGTAAGAATAAAAAAAGTATTTCGTTAGTAATAGTTTAATATACACACCATTGACAGTATTAATCTTTGATCTTTAGTATTTTTACAACTACCAAGGAACAAATGTAAGTTTGAAAAAATACATTCCAAATAAAAATTTCATCATCGTTAAAATTCTTTAACTAGTAGGAAATAATTTTTCCAATGCATACGCGATTTGTTGAAATTCACCCAAAAATTAGAAATCACATTTTGGCTTTTGTAAATCTATTGTAAAATTTACTACGAGAGGATAATAGATAAAATACCATGTAACGGAAAACTGATGACGTCGTCGATAAATTATTTCTCATTATATTCCCTTTGGACTCATTATTCTTCAGCAGACGACTGTTCTGTAATTCGTTGCACTGTAGCTCTCAAGGCAGTTGCAATTTTTTGGATGTGCCCAAATGCCAGATAACCAATCACACCGAGAATGATCAAAAAATTGATGAACGACCAACCTCTCCATCCAAAGAAACCCTCTGATTGTAAATTAACACATGTCATGATTTATTAACTCTGCCTCAAATACTCATTTGCAGAATCAATGATTTTGATTTCTTTCGTTTGTATAGTCACGAATAATTTTGTACTTTGAAATTTACACTGGAACCTGCCAATATTTTGTATCAGGATCGTTTCGCAAATGTTTTCTGTGACGAAAAAAATATATACGGTGGTTCAATTTTATATGTTCATTAATTAAATTTATACGATTAACCTACTTCATCGACCGAAAGCATAATAGTGGAGTAAATACAAATTTTATTACTTCAGTTTAATTCTCTTGAAAATAAATATTTAGAATACTTTCATTTTATTTTCACACTCTGTTTCTTCGTCCGTATAAAATTACATAAATTTCTTTCACGGAGCAATATCAAATTTTCGTTATTCTCCATCTACCAACAGTTTCACATTTTAAAAGGATGATTCGCAAACATTTTTTTACAACACCGTATACAATTATACTAAAAGATGATGATTGCTATACAAATATACAGTGGCGTGAACAATTGTAGGTTCAAAGTTGTTTCTCATAAGCGTAGTTTAACTATAATAGATGTGTATTATTAGATTCTATATCAAAAACAATAAAAATTATTCTCAAGGATTTTGATTACTTTATTTGATTATTTATTAAAATATTAAGTATCTACCTTCCAAACCTATAATTATTCACACCTCTATATATTCCACAAAAAGCTTCACAGTATATTTTATTTTCTTCACACGTGAAACCAACGAACTTCCATATTTTCTACATATTCCGTACTCCGATTACAGCTTTCGAACCGAAAAATTCACATCCTCCTCATTAACGAGTATAACTGAATCTGTAATAAAAGTATCACTCTAAATAACACGTAACTAGGTAACTCAATTTAACTGAAACGCAATGTAACGTTCCAATAGAAAATGTTACCTCAATTTTATGCAATTCCTTGGATCATTCCTAATTAACAATTAACTCCGCCACGATTACGTTCTACCTTTCTTTCTTATCAATTTTAATGTATTCTTAATAGTATCAAATATTCTTTGACATTTTTCATTGCATTCAATTCTCGATTTAGGTGGCTGTCGATCGGGACATAGTTGTTCCGGACATGTTCGTGCCGACATTGGTCTTCTTTTCCGCTAAAAACTCTATGATACCTTTGTTTCTACTTTCGTCGCGTACGCAACCCCTGTTATTATCAGTTCCAGACGTGAAACCGTCGCATCCGTCGCAGAAAACATATTGCCTATCGTTTTCGGCGGTCAGCTCGGAAAATAGGATAAATTCCGCAGGAAAATTCTGTTTCGCGTCTCTTTTGCTCTTCGCGGTCTGCAGGTTCAAAAAGACGACCTTTTTTTAGGACGTGCCTCGCTCGGGATATCGCTTGCGAAGGTGATTACGGTTTAAAGGACTCTGTCCACGCGATTATTACCCTGGACATGAGAAACGTTTGTGCTCTTTATTTATTACTAATGTTGTATGCGTTGCAATACGCCCATACGATATCGGTTCCAACTACGATATCAATTTTTTAATAGAGAGGATAATTGAGTCGATGGATTATTTATTTGACATTATTATGGTCCGATAAAGCTCTGTTGTACAATTTACTAGCTCTTGGAATGTAATTCCTATTTTATTTTGTTATTTTTATTTTTATAAGGTTTAGTTAATATTGATATTCTTGTTCCTTTCACTTTTATTTAACGTTAATATTCCGTTAATTTTTATTTTTAGTTTAGTTTCTATTTTATTGTAATTGTAATATAGTTTATTTAGATCATAATAATGTCGAGCTTTTTCTGCTTAAACTGTGCCATGAGTTGAAAGAGTTGAGAATCAATGCTTTAACGGACTCGTAAGCTTTGTTTAGAAGATTTCAAAAAACAAATCGTAACGAGTTGGACAAATGATATTAACACGTTGACTGCCAAATAGATTTTACGATAAAATACATCTAATTTCAACTGCAGAACCAATAAGACATCTTAAACACGTTTCTTTTGAACTAAAGAAATTCATTTCCATGGAATTTCAAATTCAAATTCACAAGAAAATCATCAAATATTTAATCTTCCATGGACTTGAATGAACTAAAAAAAATTAATTTCCTTGGAATTAAACTCCAAAACAAGGCTCCACGTTGGAATAACTCGGACGTGGTTGCAAAGGAGCTAAAAAATTTATTTCCACGAAATTAAACCCACAAAACAAGCTTTACCGTTGGAACAATTTGTACGAGGTCTGAAAAGAGCTAAAAAATTTATTTGCTCGAAATTCAACCCCTCAAAACAAGACTCAACATTGCGACAATTCGAGTGCCCAACCTCTCGCATTAAAATGTACACAACAATCATAAAATACGCGATCCTTAAACGGTCTCGAGTAAAAAAAGCTGTCGCGTTAAACCAAAACATCGTGTGCACGTGGCGGTCAACGTGTTAAATAATATACGACAATTACACAACAAGCAGAAGCTAGAATTTACCTGTGCCGGTTGCGTTAACGTGGGCAGCCTAGCGTTCAATCTTCGCCGAGTATCGCGCGAGAGTGACCGATAGAAAACAATGCTAACGGCTGCCAATATCAGAAGTACCAGCAAGATAATGCCGATCCAAGACGAACCCTTCGATTCGTGTTCTACGTCGTTGCAATACGGCGCCGGATAAAATCCATTTTGAGGATAAGGCGAGTAATGGGCATAAGGATTGAACGGTGGATAAGGCGGTGGCGGTGGTGGATAATAAGCGTAAGGATTGGGATGGGACGGTGAATGTTGCTGATGGAACCTAACGTTGTCTGCGTGGCTCTCTGTCGGGGTTCCTGATCGCGGCGGTGATCGACAACGCGAATTAGCAGCACACATCTACGGTGCTAACTATTTTTGTAGCGGCCTTCTTTGTGCTGCGCATTAGGCTGAAAGTATACTTTTAGCGAAACGAATGATTTTTCATCCGTGTTTCGAAGACGATAATTTTGATCTGCAACAGGCCTGAACATTAGGTTAAGACGTCGCGTTCGCGGTGCAATTTTCACGCGAATAATGTATTCGAGAGATCGGTTGGGCGAGATATCGAGATCGACTTCAGGTGTTTGGCGAGAATTTTGTGAAATTTGAGATTTATAGACATAGAGATATTAGAGTTAGGAAGACGCAGAGTTGAAAAGAGATCAAAGTCTGTAATCTTTTATTCGTGGAATCGTGGAATTAGTGATTATGGAATTATTTGGGTGGTAAAATGTTCTTTGAAACTAACAAGGAGCATCACCCAACTATTATACACGGTCTGTCTAAAAAGAAACCGAACTTTTGCTACAAAAAGAAAAAAGTACAAGTAAAGTGTTTACACACACGTTTATTTACTCAAAATATTCTCCCTCTGCCTCAATACAGCGTGTAGACCGCGTAATTAACATTTCGAAGGACCTTTGCAGCTCCTGTTTTGGTAGCCCGTTTAGTACGGCGGTTACAACGGCCTGAATCTCCGAAATGTTGTTATAATGTGTCCCTTTCATTGGAATTTTCAATCTTGGGAAAAGAAAATAATCGCAGGGAGACAGATCGGGCGAGTACGGTGAATGATCAAAGGTAACAATGCTAATTCCAATGAAACGGACACATTATAGCAATATTTCGGAGATTCAGGCCACTGTAACCGCCGTACTAAACGAGGAACCAAAACAAGAGCTGCAAAGGTCCTTCGAAATATTAATTACGCGGTCTACACGCTGTATTGACGCAGAGGGAGATCATTTTGAGTAAATAAACGTGTGTGTAAACCACTTTACCTGTATTTTTTTCTTTTTATAACAAAAGTTCGGTTTCTTTTTAGACAGACCGTGTATGTCGATTTTAATGAAACTTGGTGCATAGATAGAGCATTAAAAAGAAATTAGACACGTATATTTTTATGTTGGTTGATATTCACGTTTAAGGGGTGAAAACTACCCTCGTACCATTTATATTTAGTGCATTCTTTTATTTAACATTTTTTTTTTTTTTTTTTTTTTTTTAATGTAATTAAAGAGGTATTTCCATCACAACTTTCGGGGTAGTTTATTACAGTAACAATACGAACGGTTCTGAAATAAAATTGCACAGTACGAAGGGTGCCACGAATGTTTTTGGAGAAAGTAATATTTGACTGATTTATTTGAATACACACTGTATTTGTAGGACCATGTTTGTTTTAGAAATGCAGTGGTGCGTGTGCAATAGATAGTTGCATTATTTTTTTTAACGGAAATGCATGCTTTTGTTTGCACAGATTGAATCCTTTCGTCATTCTGCGTAAATAAGTATTAGGGTAAAGTGGTAAAAAAAAAAGCATTAATTCATGAGATATTTTAAACAATTGTTTGTAATGAAGAAGATGCTCAACAACAATTGGACCAACAAAACTTTCTATCTAGCAATACCGTTCTGCAACTAATGACGTGCATATATATGTAACACTGTAGAATATACATAGTTGAACAATTTAACTACTTATTAGTAGATAGTGTGTGCTCGAAATCAGTGATGCGAATAGTCGGGCGAATGTAAAGTCGAACCTGGTTATAAAGAGTACGAATATAATGAGATCACAGCTATGACGAGTGAAAAGCCATAATTGTTTCAATTAAAGCGTATTTGCATGTAATTACTCCCTTTTACGAAGAGAAACTTATTGCACGGATATAGATAATACAAGAGCGAGGAAGTTCGAAGAATATCGAAGTGAAATCGTTAGGAGAAACAACAATTTTAAGATTTTTTATTAAATGGTATTTTATCGCGAATAAGTAAGAGTTGATATCATTTATTTGTCTGTAATTTTAGAACCATTAGCTCGGGACATTCGAGTATGCTATTGCTTTCACTCCTTATTGATCTTACTACCTGGTCAGGTACCTTCTGTAATTTAGTTAATAATCTGAATTGGGAAGCAATAAAACGTTCCTATTAGGTGAACCGGAAAATAATGTCGTTTTTACAATTTTAAATACTTATTTATCATTCATCAGCTCATTGATTTTCATCGATCTGGCATTGACAACTTGCACACTAGATGGCAAAAGGCTATTGATAACGGGAGCGTATTATATAATTAATAATTCAAAATAGAAATTTATAAAAAATTTGTTTGAATTTAATGTAAAAGAAACGACATTACTTTCCAGTCCACCTAATAGTATTTAGTTCCAATTAGGAGTAGGAACGAATCTGGCCCATAAATAGTTACGTTGAGTCACGTGGTAAGTTTTAAAGCGTACATGTACAATTATACACTGTATCTACATTATTATTAATATTTAAAATAACGTAATGGCATGCTTGTTAGTTAGAAGACTTTAATGTGACAATTAATCCATACAAGCAAATCAAGTAAAATGTTCTCGACTCTTATGGTTAGGTCTGGGTCATTCTCAAAGTTTTGAGGACCACGAGGTCGTGAATTATTAGTTAATAATATCATACTTCGCAACTTTTTAATATAAACAGTAGTGGACATAGAAATTGGATTCCTTAATAAAATATCAACTTTTTTGATCGAAGTCAAGTACGCAGTGTTACTAAAGGTTTATTTTACGTAAAAGAAAACATAATTTATTACAGTAGAATAATAATTTAGGGTAGCTACCGTATTTGCAACATATCCAAGTATTCGATGAACTGTATTTTTAGAAAGTTGTGTAATTTCAGAGTACACTGTGTATATTTTGATTGTAAGAAAAAATTATATTGTAATCATGTAGCTGTTAGTTTAACATACTACCTTGATAGTTCCTCGTGCCTTTTAATATAATATCAGTTTATCTAAATATTAAAGAGGATTCGGCTACAAGTCGAAGAAGTTTCGTTCTATTTGCTTCTATAGACTAATTACTGATATTTACCCGTACAGCTAGAGACTGTTATAAAAATAAATTGGTAATATGAAAATTGACTTACTTTATGATTGAGATCAATGACATCATCCTCAAGGGAGACATCGCTGTACATATCGTCCGCTGGATCACAGTTGGAGCCCCTGCCAGAGCTATTAAAACTGCCACTTCGATATAGTTGGCTGTAAATGTAACAAAGATTACCTATTACTAAAGAATGTGTATCTATTTCTACGACCAAGTAATAAAGCAACCAAGTCACATACATTTTTAAAAATACTTAAGGAGGTATCCTGAATTAGGAGGTTTAAAAAAAGCGGTTTCTCGTGAATTTTTTTAGGATGGAAAAAAATAATTACTTCTATCGTACTTTTTATTCTATTTACATACGTATTTGAGTAGTCTGTAGAAATTTTTTCAACAAGAAATATTCAAATTGAGTCCCCTGCACATTTGTAGAGCACCTCACAATTAAAACCTCCTATCGGCGGGAAAGATGCAGGTCGTAATTTTGGTTTGACACAAAAAAGAAATTTTCATTTTCATACATTTTTCTTCTATGTGAACTAAGAAAATTCATACAACAAAAATTTTCTACAATTTTTTTATCAAGTTAAAGTGATTTTTTTCACCCAAAGAACTCGTCCTTTTTTTCAAACTTGCGGTAATTTCACATTTTACCATTTTTCCGGGGTTTTCTTAGTTCACATAGAAGAGAAATGTATGAAAATCAAAATTTCTTTTGGTTTTTTTGTGTCAAACCAAAATTACGACCTGCATCTTTCCCGCCGATAGGAGGTTTTAGTTGTGAGGTTCTCTACAAATGTGCGTCGCAGTCGACTCAATTTGAGTATTTCTTGTTGAAAAAAATTCTGTACAGACTACTCAAATACGTATGAAAATAGAATAAAAAGTTCGATAGAAGTAATTATTTTTTTCCATCCTAAAAAAATTCACGAGAAACCGCTTTTTTCAGACCTTCTAATTCAAGATACCCCCTTAAGCGTCAATTATCCGACTTAACGAAAACAATAATCAAAATGTAGGGAAACCAAAGGTGTAATGATGATTAGAACTTTTGTTAATTTTACACAATTTTCATCTTTCTAATGTCGAATTTCTAGTTTCGAAAATTTGAATACTTCTTCATTATTTGTAATTTTGGTAATCTTTGGTAACTTTCCACAATTAAACGTTCAGTTATATATTTAATTTGCACTACAATTCCAGTATCACAGTTTACCGTTCCCTTCCTCATACTGCTACGAAACATGTAATTTGAATCATGTGTTTACGTGTAATACTTGCGAGACACTGATCTGAAACGCGTGAATCGTAGAGGATGGTAAAATTATTTACATACAGAGGACGCACAGAGGTTTCAAAGTGTAAAGAATTATTCTATAGACACGTGTTTCAATTTATGGCATAACTTAACCACAGATGGACAGAATTTTGGTTAAATATAATCTATTCAATTGAAGTTATTCCAATACATTTTAATTCACTCAAAATGAATTTCAATTTCATTTTATAATTCAGTTTCATTGTTCAACTTCATTTGCAAAAATGTTGAATTTGGAGTGGAAATCTATTAATAATTACGCATTTGAATAACCTGAACAAACTTTGTTCGATTTACTCTGGTAAATATGAGAATCTCTCTCATGATTCCTGATGACTACGAAAATAATTACGAGTACTACATGAGCCCTAATGCCAGCTTTAAGCGCGAAATAAAATCATACGCTATTACGGGATGGAATTACGATCAGGACTTCCGGTTGGAATAAAATACCGAATCTTCCCATCTCCTGTAATTGAACGTTAAAAATTGAAGCGAAAGAGCGTAACGAAATGACGCGAGCAGCTATAAATAGGGGTTATAGGTGAAATATGTACGTATTTAAGGTATTCGTAAAAGCATAAAAGGAAACGGGATGGGACGCGGAGAAGTGCGTGTGCAGAGGCGATTCAATGCCCACGCTTTAGAAAGTCCATGGTTTTGTGTTTCGCGAAAGGATCGACTTGAAAATTATCGGTTAAATAAGGACACTTCGAGATCCCTTTCTGCGAATTACGAATTCTTCCGCGGTGAGTTACCTACGTGGCAGCTATTGTTAACTCGTGACATCAGCTCGCGAACTTGCGAAACATCGTTGAACCGTATTTTTCTTTATTTTACGCAGCCTCTCCAAGAAAATAATTTGAAGAGACGAATAAATTAGTAGAGACAATCTTCGGCTTTAATTGCGATCAGTAGACTGCGGATCTTTAATGCGAAATAAAATTGCAGGCAAAAGTACATTACAAAAATTGAAGTTAAATAAGGATTATTTCACTCTGCAATTATTAATGTGTGAATTTTATGCAGATGCAATTTCTCAACCTGATAGACATTACCATGTACGTATATATACGAAGTTCAGTATTCGTAAAATTTCGCTCATTATCAAACTTTCAACAGATTGTAAATATATTTACTTGAAAATTATTAAGTGTAGAAATTAATTATGTGATTATTTATGACTCCACCTTGGATAGAAATATTTATCCATCATTTTACTACGCTAAAGTACAAGCCTTCATAGCAATTAACACTTTATCCTATTTAGAAACAGTCTTTAATTTAAAAACAATTTTCTGCAGTAGCATATGCCAATCTAGGCTGACAATAATTCCTTCATACTGTTACTGGATACATTGAAAGCCAAGTCTGTTTCCAAACACTGAACATTGTAAGTAGACAACCATCAACACAGTAAATAAATTCATAAAGCTAAATACTGGAATTAAAAAGCCTATGAATAAGCTCCCGGTAAATAAAGTGTTAACGTGAGCACGTATATCTTAGATCCGCGACATCCCTGTTGTCCTAGGGATCAATTACCTGTGCCAATAAAGCATGCAACTGCTGTTTCGGTTTACGACCTCACAAGATCTTTACCAGCAGCGACTATACTCTTTTGGAATGTGTGAAAGAGAAAATGAAAAGTTGTATGGTTTTCCTTTATACATAAACACATGGTCGATTTACTTTAGCCACGAACAGAATTAATTTCTACACCTAATGAATTGTAATCTTGAACTCTTCCGTCCACGAACTCACGCGTTAATAATATTTTCTCGTATTCCCAGCCATGCACGGAAATTACTCAACTAAGACGTGTTCCGCGGTGAAATGAAATTGAAGAAAAAAAAAAAAGAAAAAATAACAAACCGCGTTCCGTAACGCCTTACGCATTCGTCGTTTATAAAATCAAACAATCGATGAGTCATTCTTACCTTGCTAATGCATTGGAACTAAGTCTCTTCCTACCGGAACTGAAACACATAAACACGACCGTGAGAATATTGTAGGCGTATCGTTGCATAACGAAATTTTTCGCGACAAAACTCGTTGAAAACGATGAAGTTAAGAACAGAACTATTTCTTTTACGTTTGCCTTTAGTTTTTACTAGCAATGTTTCTTCGATGGTCATCCGAGCATTCGAGATCGTAACGTTGGCGAATTTTGCCAGCTGTAAATTTCGTTTGCCAAAGACAAAAATAACCCAACTGACGTTGAGCCAAATTTTCAATTTCTATAAATGAATCGAATGGGCGAGGACAATAAATGAAGGTCAACATTCGTTAGACTATCGTGACCAGAGCCAAGGGAACACTATAGGTGACTACGAATAGGGAATTGAATAAAGATAATTTGGCGAGGATGCGATTTGCGCTTTAAGGGGTATCCTGAATTAGAAGGTCTAAAAAAAAACGGTTTTTCGTGAATTTTTTTAGGATGGAAAAAAATAATTACTTCTATCGAACTTTTTATCCTATTTCCATACATATTTGAGTTGTCTGTAGAAATATTTTTCAACAAGAAATATTCAAATTGAGTCCCCTGCACATTTGTAGAGCACCTCACAACTAAAACCTCCTATCGGCGGGAAGATATAGGTCGTAATTTTGGTTTGACACAAAAAAACCAAAAGAAATTTTGATTTTCATACATTTCTCTTCTATGTGAACTAAGAAAACCCCGGAAAAATGGTAAAATGTGAAATTACCGCAAGTTTGAAAAAAAGAACGAATTCGTTGGGTGAAAAAAATCACTTTAACTTGATAAAAAAATTGTTGAAAATTTTTGTTGTATGAATTGTCTTAGTTCACATAGAAGAAAAATGTATGAAAATGAAAATTTCTTTTTTTGTGTCAAACCAAAATTACGACCTGCATCTTTCCCACCGATAGGAGGTTTTAATTATGAGGTGCTCTACAAATGTGCAGGAGACTCAATTTGAATATTTCTTGTTGAACAAATTTCTACAGACTACTCAAATACGTATGAAAATAGTATAAAAAGTTCGAAAGAAGTAATTATTTATTTCCATCCTAAAAAAATTCACGAGAAACCGCTTTTTTTAGACCTTCTAATTCAGGATACATCCTTAAGTATGTTCAAAATTTATGTGACTTGGTTGCTTTATTACTTGGTCGTAGAAATAGATACATTCTTTAGTAATAGGTAATCTTTGTTACATTTACAGCCAACTATACGAAAAACCGCTTTTTTTAGACCACCTAATTCAGGATACTCCCTCAAATGATAAGAGGAGTGATGTAAAGGGTGTTCGGAGACAGTGGCGCCAAGTTAAGTCTTTTTTTTTTAAATCGTCGCAAAATATTTCTAATAAACAGTTCCAGTACTTTTCTGTAAAAGTATTTAGTAATATTATCATTATTACTATTATTGAACTGGAATTTGGTAACAGATGAAACAAAATTGCTTAAGTAAAAATTGTACAGTATAAAAACGTCCACGAGACTGCGAACACAAGTTTCATATAGCGTGTGATGGATACATTTTTGTTGGGAGAAATGTTATTAAAAATAATTATTTTTTTTTTTTTTTTTAATTTCTTACTATGGTGAATTTTGTATTTAAGCTATTTTAGATATCTCCTACGGTTTCAGAGGTATTTCCAAAAATAAAACTAACCGAAATTATTTTCGAGACAAAATGGAAAAGGTGATCAAATTCCCGCAAACTTTATTTCTGCAAAAATTCAAATCTCATATTCGATTAGAAATGTCTCACAGCTCAGTTTCTAGGATCACCCTGTACATCGATGGCGATTTTAAAAAGACCTACCCCGATTTATTTATAGGAAACCGCTATTACGGCCCAGGGTCACGAACAAACTCGAGTACAGTTAGTTAAACGCAATTGTCCGTACGCACTGAATATTATCCGCTAAACTGTTCCGACGCATTCATCGATACAAGAATGGAAAGCATTGTATTACGTTAATAATGTTTTCTTCGCACACTCGACGCGTAACGACTTCCTTTTACATAGCAAGAACAACGTCTCAGACATCTACCCTCGTAAGAGGAAACTTAACGAGTTTCTTGTAGATAAACCGCGTATAACTTTCCGCGGGAGTTGAACGAGTTTCTTATCTGGCTTGGTCTATTAGCACGACCAGACGGTCGTAATTTATCAAACGGTTCCGACGCCGGGCAATTTTTTCGCACGCCATACCTCGGCCATTGTTCGGCGTTTCGGAACACCGGAAATTCACGTTCGATTTAAAGGATCTGGGTCAGTGGTCGCTGAACGTTTCGAAAGGGGTTGAACGATGGACAAATTACGCGTGTTAGGTTGTCCTAAAGTTTCTTTCGGGATTTGTACTCAGTTGTTTTGTTTGGCAGTGTTTACAGTGGGTGTAGAATGTATTTGTACACCGATAAATTTCCCAAAAAACTTTTGTGTGAAATTGTAGTTTCTTAACTTTTTTTTTTTATAATCCATGTTGTTTTACATATTCTTGGAAATCTCTAAGATAGATATAGTCCAAACAACATTTACTAGTTCATGTAATTTGTGAAATTAACAAAAAAATTGCGAAAAGTAGGTAAAAGTATAGAAGCAATAAGTATTTGTACGATTCTTATGACGAACCATTTACAGTAGAGTTTGTAACGTAAATACATTAGTTTATTGCTCCGTGCGAATTAGAAAACATCAAATTTCCAGGAAAGTACTTTTAAACAGTTGTGCGAATATTTATTGCTTCAACATTTCCATCGATTAATTGTTTTTTTTTTTTTTTTTTTTTTTGTCAATTTCGCAACTTACATAAATGGCTATTTTTTGTTGTAATCTATCTATTCTAGAGATTTCCGAGAATATGTAGAATGTCATTGTTTATAAAAAATAAGTTGATAAATTACAATTTCACACAGTTTTTTTGGAAATTGATCGGTGTACGAATACTTTCTACACCCACTGTATATAAATAGAAAACCTTATCTCTTAGTACGTTAACTGCCAGACTAATACTTGTGAAAAATATTAGTCTAACACGTCGTTTCTATGCAACTGAAACTTACTTTTGTTCAATTTAAACTTGTATTTATTTTCGCGACTTCGTTAAATTCGCGAATTTTACATAGATTTATTTTCTTTAACTCATCGTCTTCAGAATTATATTATTTAATCCTGTCAGCGATAAATAAATGACACGGCGACCAATGTGTTAATAATTGATGTTATAACGGTATAGAGCAAAACAGTGTTTACCAAAATTTACCATTCAATTTATATCTAATTCTTAACATTTATCAATAGTACTATAATCAATTTGGTCAAAAATCCAAATATAATTGAAAATAAGTTAACGGAGGATTCAATAGGATTCTGCGAATCTTGGCAATGAATGGAGTGAAACTCGTGCCGCAAATGAACAATTTCGCGATCTAGGATGCACCTAATGCGTCTAACGGTCTAAGTGACCGTTCGTCGTAATAATAAAATAGGCCAGCGCAGCTTTCAGAAATGAAATCATCCAGAAAAACAACAATTTGGAGGGAGAAAATAAATTGCATGACTCTGGCGTAACTAGGAAGTAACTAGATCATAGAAATTCTGTTACATCTACTCGACAATTTAAACGTGTTTTTCTAGAAATTATGTTTATTGAACCAGACGGTTGACACTATTTTGCAGTAACGGACGAATTCACTTGAAACGTGGAACACGTGAACTGGATATCCTACGTTTGGTTAAACCACTACAATAATTTATTTGCGTAATTTTTTCTTGTTTCTTCTTTATAGCGTTCTATAACTTTAAATTTTCTCACTTGAAATTTTGTAATATGCAAGCAAAAAAGGTAAATAATTCCCAATTTAATTATGTTCAAACTTCATAACGCTGTCATTTTACTAATTTTGTGTATTTTTCTCTTATTTTGTTTCTAATTATAGCCACATCCATGTGGATTAATAATTGCTTCAGTCCACTAGAATTATTACTATTTCTTGTAAGTATTGCGTAGACGACCTATTTCATTAAAACTATTACATATTTTTGTATGAAAAAGTTTATATAACTTGGCAAGATATGTAAAAACTGCGATAGGAAATTCCATACTACTATCTTGAACAGTTTTCATGTTATATAATTTCAGGTATACTCAACTATTGTAATGTTTCAACTACAATATCTTCTAAACCTCGTAGAAAATAGTTTAGAGTTTGGAAAAATTCAATTCCAATAATAAATCATTAATAGAAAAACACTCTATATCTCATCATTTATAATATTTATTCAATCAGACAGATATTCAGATAAACTTGCATCCAATCGATCTGAAATTTCATTTCATTTTGTAATTTAAACTTGCAATTTTGATCGAACAAATTACAGATCAAAATTTATTTGTCAGAATATTTCGTCATCTTTCATGTGTTACTCGAAATTTGTATCTAAATAAGAATTTTGCTCATGGTAAATTGGGATAAAAAATAGCTATTATACAGCACACCCCAAACAATATCTAGAAATGTCTAACAAAAGAAACGAATTGCCTGAAATGTTGTTACTACATTGTGTTTAGTGGAATCGCCCAGAAATAATTTATTATGGATTGCTTCCCTCCAAAGAAAGAAAATGAAAGGTTGAGGTAAAATAGCTAGGTAAACTAAAGGATATCTTTATAAAAAAAAATGTCTAACGTCGGTAAACTGAAAAGGAATTGTTCACCAGCACGAGAACGTTCGGCCAAGCGTGACGTGAATGGCACAGAAAAAATTATACGACTACGACTGGGAAATTTTACAACCTCCACGTTATTCACCGGACATCGCACCGACGGATTACCATTTGTTTAGGTCCCTACAGCATTCTTCGGCAAAGAAATGTTTCCAGGATGCGGACACCCTCCTGAGGCACGTTGAGGAATTTTTTAACAAAACAAAGGAAACATTCTATAAAAGCGACGTAAAGAAATTACTTCGATATGAAAAGATATGGTGATTATGAATATTGATTAATTATGAATATTTATGAAAAATGAATGGTTTCATGTCTGTCCTTCAAAAATAGCATCAACTTCTTTTTAGCACTAGACATGGCTAAAATTCTTATGCAGATACAAATTTCGAGTAACAAATAAAATAATGGTTACAAAAACAGCATGTACGATTACTTTAATAATTCCCGTATATTACAAAATTATTGAGACAATAGATTGACTTCATTATATTGCATTCCTATAAGTTGTATTATACGTATTGTATATATAAGTTGTATATTATATACTATATACAATACTTTCCCTTAATAACCGAGTTTTGCTCCAAAACAGGTTCCCATCAAAATGATGCAAAATAAAGTGATAAAAACGTTGCACGCTCGAGTGCGAGAATAAACCAGTTTTCTAAAGGGAGGCAGAAAGGAACACACCTAACGCCTTCTTTTATTATTTTAAACATAGAAGTTTAATATGTGTGGGAATATACTCTTTTGCCATCTATCTTATTTAACAAATAACTCCCCTTCCTACATTTCAATGGAAGGATACTATATAATGGTATTTAAATAATCACGATTTTTTAGTTTGTATCGCGTTACTTGCAATATATAATGTAGCGAATGTAACTTATTTATCAGTGGAAGAGTTCCTCTAGCATTTAATTAGAAGCTTTCTTTGAATAACTACGTATACTCAACGAGTAAGAGATTAAATCAGTTAAAATTAATAACAAATAGAATGTATTTTGAATGTAAACTTAAAAGAAATTGCAATGAACATAAAGGAAGTGTTGCGTCTATAAATCTTGGATACGGTAATTTTTCTATTGTTTTTTAAAGAGGCACTTTCTAAAAAAGTTTACAAGCCATTGAAATAAACGAGTACAGCGTACAATTTTAGAAACTAAATTAGAGCCAGATTTAAGCTTAGAATAAATCTGTATACGTATCTAAAGAAAAGTGTTATTTGTAAATTTACCACGATGGTGTTCGTCTAAGCGATGTCCGCAACCAGGAGTGCCTTCCTATGGTTGAATTCGGGCTTCTAGGGTTTCTGTTAGAACAAACCAATGGAATAATAAACTTAGAAGTCTCTATTAGACATTTAAAAATTATGATAACCTTATACAGTACTTTCAAATTATTCTAACGACTCGAAAAAACTTTGCACAACCAATGTGTAGACAGAAATTGCATTTCAGTTGTGTAAATGCATTAAACTCTTCCGTTGTTCTTACTAGACTGCGGACCTTTATGCATTTATAAGAAATTTGAATGTGCAAGAACATACAAAATGCAAACAATATGCAAGAATATAAAAAAGATTGAAAGTAAACTTCATGTTATAATATTTGCAGAATAAAATAAATTCCTATATAGGCTTAACTTTTGTAGGCACATTCGCAAAGATTTTATTTTGCATAAAGATCCGCAGTCTAGTTATTATCATTCGTTGAGCTCATAACTACTTAAGTTATGCTTGTGTCGACCATTGCTATTAACTTTCAATACTACTCATAATACAAAAAAGAAAAAGGAAAAATCTAAAAATGTATTTTACTTGAAAACCAAGCATTAACTTCGATTGTTTGAGAAGACGAGTGCATACATCAGGAAGCGGTAATGACGAGCAACATGAGTCATAAAAAAAATGCGAAAGATTAAAGCGGAAAGATGCGGAAGATGATGCGAGGCGTGATTTTATTTTCTCTTTTTTCGTGAAAGTTTTTCTATTCATCGAACCGACCCGGGGGAAACATTAATTTAATCGTGGGAATAGATACATATCTGTCTGATTTCAAATGATATTAATAAGTAATGTGAGAGAGAAGACGGTATTTAACTTCCAAACGTGAAATTCAATGTCCACGGTGGGTCAATTATAAAAATTAGTGTCTTTGTTCGAGGTAGCAGGAAAATATTAAAAAAGAAAATGTGTGCTATCCAACGTTACTAATTAGAATCTTTTACAAGTCTGATGTTTTTTAAGGAATTTGAATTTTTAAGTAGGTTAAATTATAATCATTGATTTCTCTATGTACAATACAATATTGTATTTTAAATATTACTCTAGTAGGTGAAGTAAAAAGAAATTGAATTGAAAGAATCTTTTACAAGTCTGGTGTTTTTTAATGAAATTGAATTTTTAAGTAAGTTAAATTATAATCATCGATTTCTCTATGTACAAAATAATATTGTATTTTAAATATTACTCTAGTAAGTGAAGTAAAAAGAAATTGAATGATTCAAATAATAAATTTGTTACTTGTAAAAGAAAAAGAATTCTTAATAACTTCTTAAAATGATATCTACTTGCATAGAATATTTAATGTATTACATGTACGTTATATGAATTGTATATTTTATACAGACGGTAGAGCTTGTATTATTCGTTAGGAAAAGTAAAAGCAAAACAAATAAAATATCCATTCTATAGTAAGATTTGTAATTCGCAAGAAAAAATCACTAGTAGAGCACTATACTTCATAATCACGTTTGGTACCACTATTCAATTGGACCATTTTTAACTCAAATTGTATTATTTAATTCAGACCATGTTTTGAATTGTGTACGAATAAAATATTTAAAATAGAACAAATGAATATTCTGAATAATGTCTCACGCAAAATGTGACACTGCCCTATAATTATTATCGCGATTGTTTACGGGTACAAAAAATAGAAAATCATCATTGTCACGCCTACGTACATGACATTACTCTCTCATGACAATCGGTATGTGACGCATGTTACGAAACGTGTTAAAAAGAGCGAAGATACCCTTAAAAACAGGACTTAGAAACGTAGAAGGCGCGTTAAACAATTTCTTTTAATTATACGTTATAAATCTATACACTATATACATATAAGTCAATGTATATTAGAAACTAGAGATCCCTACTTCGCGTGTATCGAAGTATCCCGGCAATTAATGGATCCGTGTTTTTTTTTTTTTTACATTTTTAATACACGGGTACCCGAATATCGAAATACGCCGATACCCGGATATCTAAATACACGGATATCCAGGTATCGAAATGCACGAATATCCACGTACGTATACGTGCATCGAATTATACGGGTAGGATATCCAATTATGTTTATATACAAACTTTTACGTAACAAAGCTATTATTCTAAAATAATGATCCTTATTAATTTGGAAAAAATTGATATCCAGTAAAATAAATAAATAAAGAAAATATAAACATAAGAAGAATAAATATAATAGAATAAATTGTTTAGTGTAATTTATAAAACTTTATTTACTAGTTAAAATAAATATTCACGTCACGGGTAACAATAGATAATTCGTTGTATGCGTACTCGTGTATTTCGATATCCGGGTACTCGTGTATTAAAAATACCCGTGTTCTTAATCCTTTAATACACGGTACACGTGTTCCGTGTATTTTAATACCCGTCCAAAACCGATGATCTCTAATAGAAACAAATCAAGGTTTAGCTGTAAATATATATTATAAAAATGAATAAAAATGCGTGATTACCAGAAGCCCGTATCAAAAAGATGGTAGTTATAGTAATTACCAAAAGATGACGTTATAGTCACAGTTACCATCTATTAAATTAAATAATCATAGACACTATATCCGCAATACTAACCAAAACAGATAGAACAATTTTTTAACCAATCTTAACCCAAAAACCTACCTCCCTCCCCTCTAAATATCCCTCCAAAATATTAAAAAGAACAATTTTTTAACCAATCTAAATCCAAAAGCCTGCCTCCCTCCCTTCCAAATATCCCCCCAAAATATTAAAATCTCGCATTTAAAAAGATTCATTCGGTATAAACTTTAATATCTCATGAAAATAACCCAGAACTCTGCCTTTAACATAATTACCCATCCATTACATATCCGCCTTTAACGATCAAGGCACCCTCTACTGATCGCTCCGGAAGCTCTGCTCGAAAATATTCGCGCGCGAAAGTACGGCGCGGTTCCCTTCGAATCGTACCCATCGATTAACTCAAAAAAAAAAAAAAAACCGATCGATAAGCACGTACATATGTAGAGAATGCACTATAGAGGAGGCAACGAACTTACTTGAGCGAATTGGTGCCGGTGGGCGAAGGCGCAGAACTACTACCACCAGGTGAGTCCACCCCGTCATCGGCGTCGCCCTCGACGGAACCGAAAGCCTCGTAACTTTCCTCTTCGTCGTGACTTCTCGGTGTTTTTACGTCGCAGGATGAAGCGGTCGCGTCTACGTGCTCGGGACTGGCGGAATAATGACCAGAGTCTTGGAGATTCGGATTCACCAGATTATGCAGATCGACCGACATAGAAAGCGAGGACGGTCCGCTCTCGCTCCATTCGATGCCAGGAGCTCCGTTTACGCCAATTCCACCCTCGTCCTCCGCGCGATATGATTGGCGGCCGGTCGGTAAGATGGCGTCACCATCACGTGCTACGTCACTGTCGGACACGACGACACGCGATGTAGCCACGCTGTTAGCGGTTGAGACATTTACGCCAGGCGAACGGGAGCTTACCATCCTTCGTTATCGGCCAGATTGGAGCCTAAGCTCGGACACGAACGGGAGAACCGACGGGTATCCCCGAAACTCCTTCGATCACTGACTGCCGCGACGGTGGAAACAGTCCCGTCACTGAAAAACATTCGCTCGATGAGTCACGGTTCACACTAAAAAGAAAGAAAGGCAACGTTTGTTTCTAAACTTTCCTGCCACGGTACGACTAAAGGTCGATTCAGACTATACGACACGGACCGGCACCGACACGACAAAATATTAAAACACGCGTTTTACTGGAACTATTCGCGCTATTTCACACTATTCTCGTTGACGGAACGTTCAAGTCGGTGTCTGTTAGGTGTGAATAGTTCCATTAAAACATTTAAAAGACGTGTTTTAATGTTTTGTCGTGTCGGTGCCGGTACGTGTCGTTGCCGGAACGTGACGGTCCGTGTCGTATAGTCTGAATCGACCTTAAGATTGTCCTAATAGGCCAATCGGTAGAGAATTAAAACAGCGTTTTTTGTGATTAAAATAATAACAGCAAACCGATTGTGGAATTACATAAAAAGGGATGCGTAGATTAATAGTACGTTTTTCACTCCCAGCTCTGTTCCGTTTTCTTGTTATTTACAATTTAATGCTAAAAAATCGTGATTTTTGTCGGTTTTTGCTTATAAATTTTAAACTAATGCGGCAATATCCATACATATAATCCATCCAACAATAATGCTCCAATGAGATAAAATGTAGGTGATGAAAATACCTACAGAATGTACGTAATTTAGTCAACTTTACAAGGGCTTTTCTCATACTTTAACACATTTTATCGAAAAACTAGAATATACGTTTTGTAGTATACGACGTCAACTATTCAAATCTGTTTTAAACATAAAAATCGGTCTCACGATAACGCATACAGGTCCGATGGAAAAAAGCGCACTGAAAAATTCAGATTGCGATTGTGAGAAAACCAGTCATCCGACAATCCCCGCTTTTTGCACACATAAAGAACATATCGATCACTACTTGTTCCCAAAAGGCCAGCGCTTCAGTTTAAAAAATGACGGAGATACGAATTTTTGAAAAAACACCGAATTTTCCGGTTTTCCAGATTTTTCTCCGTTCCTCATTATCCGATCGAGACGTTTGAGGTCTCATTCTGTAGATATTTTCATCACCTACATTTTATCTCATTGAAGCATTGATATTGCTGCATTAGTTCAAAATTTATAAGCAAAAAACGACAAAAATCATATACCTATTAATCTATGCATCCCATTTTATGTAACTGCACAATCGGATTGCTGTTACTATTTTTTTTGACACAAAAATGCTCTATTGATTGGCCTACTAGGAAGAGAAAACGTTTTCATTTAGAAATATTCGTGACTTTATGACCTTAAAAATGGAATAGTAGAAGGAAATAATAAAGAAATTAAGAGCAACAAAATTGGAAGAACGGTTTGAACCATTCATAGATAAAATGTATATACAGTGAGTGTAGAATGTATTCGTACACCGATCAATTTCCCAGAAAAATTTTCTGTGAAATTGTAGTTTCTTAAGTTAAGTTAAGTCTCATATTGTTGCATATTGCTTGCATTTTGTAGTTTCTTACACATTCAAATTTCCTATAAATGCATAAAGATCCGCAGTCTAATAATAAGTAAGAGTTCGTAGCTCCCAATAACGATATTATAATACTTTTGCCCCAGTTGAATACCTTTCTAAACGCCGTACGAATTTGGCATTTCAATGCGACCTTTCCTACTCTCTGCAATACATGGTATTTATCAGAGATGAACAAAACTCTCGCTACAAACCTTTAAACAACGAATAAAATACAAACTATCTCTATCACATTAACTGTTCAGTAAAAATTACAATCTTAATTACACAATACAATTATACTGTTACTCGAATCAAATTCTGTTTAACTCTTTTATTGGTCCAATTGGACTTGAACCGTATTCGACTAATTCGATCGTTAGGCGAAAAGCTTTGGAACGGATTAAGGGGGTATTATCGTCTAGAAGTTTGTTTTTTCAATAATTTTTAGGAATTAATTTTGCGAAAACTATCAAACCTACAGTACCAGGGTTTTTTTATCCATAATAAAACACGTTTCAACTAACAACACAAAATTTTATGAAATACTTGATTGAAATCTATACAAGTTATGCGTTGTTATGCAGGTTGTGGCGTGAGTCGCTCGTTCAATCCGGCGTACAGGCTGTGGCGGTTCTAGTCGTCTGAGACAGAAAAACAAATCTTTGTTTCAATCTATATGAATGTAGTTATCGTCTGAACTAGAATTAAGTAAGTACTAAATTTTTTATCGGAATCGCAGCTGTTTGAAAATTAAACTTTATTTTCCCGGAAAATTGCCAACTAAAATATGAGAACAGGGCTAAAATATTCAAGCTATCGATATAATTCTAGTTCAGACCATAGGTGATGGTGCCCTCGAAATGTGTGTAAAACCAGAAGTCAGTCGGTCCAATGGTTTTTGAGAAAAACGTGCGGCCGACTTGAAAAATGTCGTTTCGAGAAAAACGCGTTTAAAGTTTCCTATACATTTAGCACTAATACTGGTGAACAGCCTTTAAGCCTCTGTAACTATGAGAGCTCTGCGAATTTCAAATTAATATTTTAGAGGCACTTTCTCAAAACCTCAAGTGATAAGAAAATGCAAAAACTAAAATCGAATATTTGAAGTTTCTAGACGATAATACCCCCTTAATCGCGTAAGTCGTGGACTTATTGAAAGTGTAACACGGATCACCATTTGGTATCTTTAGCATCGAGCGGAAACTTGCGACAGCGGTACCTGAATAAATTGTATTCGTGAAAAAATACATACTCAGCGAATTATTCATTATGATCTTTCGTACATGCAATTTGATGAATATGCAACGTAGCGCGGATAGAGTCGGAGAAAAGCGTGAGAACCGAGTACAGGAGTCATGGTACACTGACTCAGACTTCAGCAATATGAGAAAATTTCCAAGTAACGACTTTGTTATGTTTCTATCTTCGCAATGCCACGGTGTGACGTTCAATGGATAAAATTCAAAAATTCCAAGTGTAAGATGCAAGCATTTATATCTCGTGTAATATGAATAAGATAATCTACTTTGCAATGTTATCAGTAACTTATAATTAGTATTTAAATTTATTGTTGATCTTTTTGATAGTATCTGTTTCAAATGTTCGCTTGTTCTATTGCAATTACTTATTGTACACATTACACAATTATTTAAATAAGCAAAAGGGAAATATTTCATGTCAAGTGTGTTTTTACGCGTTGATCGCCACGTCGCCCATATGTGGGTGACAGTGCTTTTCACTGAAAAACTAAAAAAATTAATTCTGAAAGGTAAGCTTCACAGGAAATGAATTTAAATGAAATCCGTGTATTTTGACGAAGTTATAAAAATAAATACCACGTCGGATGTTTGATTATGTAGTCTCCAATAGTCTGAATAATATTTAATCCTAGCTGAAATTTTCAAAAATATTTCTCTGGCAATCAACGTGTTAAGGGGGTATCCTGAATTAGGAGGTTTAAAAAAAGCTGGTTTTCGTGAATTTTTTTAGGATGGAAAAAAATAATTAATTCTATCGAACTTTTTGTCCTATTTTCATACATATTTGAGTAGTCTGTACAACATTTTTTTCAACAAGAAATACTCAAATTGAGTCGACTGCGACGCACATTTGTAGAGCACCTCGCAATTAAAACCTCCTATCGGCGGCAAAGATGCAGGTCGTAATTTTGGTTTGACACAAAACGACCATAAGAAATGTTCATTTTCATACATTTTTCTTCTATGTGAACTAAGACAATTCATACAAACAAAATTTTCAACAACATTTTTATCAAATTAAAGTGATTTTTTTTCACCCAAAGAACTCGTTCTTTTTTTCAAACTTGCAATAATTTCACATTTCACCATTTTTGCGGGTTTTTCTTAGTTCAGAAAGACAAGTAAATGATTTTCTTCTCTATTCTTCATTTACAATTCTACAATGTATGAAACTATGTTACCTTATGTTTAACAAAATTTTTCTTAGTTCACATAGGAGAACAATGCATGAAAATGAAAATTTCTTGTGTGTCAAACCAAAATTACGACCTGCATCTTTCCCGCCGATAGGAGGTTTTAATTGCGAGGTGCTCTACAAATGTGCGTCGCAGTCGACTCAATTTGAATATTTCTTGTTGAAAAAATTTCTACAGACTACTCAAATACGTATGAAAATAGGATAAAAAGTTCGATAGAAGTAATTATATTTTTCCATCCTAAAAAAATTCACGAAAAACCGCTTTTTTTGGACCTTCTAATTCAGGATACCCCCTTAAGACTCTGAACCTGTGTACGCGTACAAGAAGATAAAAAGAAGACACGAAAAATTTTGTTCGAGTCCCGTATTGTATTCTCTGTGCTGACAAAAGAAATGTATGTCAGACAACTGTGACAAATGTACGTCCACGTGTACGTACAGTAAAATAGGAGAATGACTGATCGAGGGCAGTAAAACTAGATATAACCATAGCATATACGATGTAGACACTTAGTCATCCATGCCGATAAATTTTCAAAACTCGAAGGCCATTCGAACGTGCAAAGTGCTTTTGTGACAACGTGCTTATAAGTGCAACGAAAAATACTGTTAAATGAATATCCTAATATTTGTTTGCTTGAAATTAAACTGAATTTTATCTCTATTTACAGAAACATACGGTTGGTCGATGGTTATTTCAAAAGTAAAATCTCGTATCTGTATCGTATCGAGCATTTTAATTATAATATTCTCGACTCTGAAAAAATGATTATTTAAAATTGAAAAATGATTTGGATACGTTTATCAATAGACTGATGATTTTTATGCGTTTATAGGAAATTTGAATGTACAAGAAACTATAAAATGCACACAGTATGCGATAATATACAAAATTATTTAAAATAAAATACATATTATAAAACTTGCAGATTAAAATAAAATCCTATTTAAGTTCAATTTCTGTAGGCATATTTGCAAAGATTTTGTTTTGCACAAAGATCCATAATCTATTAAATACTTATTATTAATCATTTTGTAGAAAAAACTTGATCGGAAATGGGAGTCCTAAATGTTATGTTTCCTGCTGACCATCTTCAAAATCTTTGATTTTTTAATAAGTTTTATTTTAGATTTAGTATTGTATTTAGTGAAACAGCCAGGAAGTTCCAGAGTCGAAATGCTTTTAATAATAATTCAACCAATTTGAATAAACAAACTTAAAATAGCACGTTAAAAAAGTGATAAATAGTAATAATAAATATTAATAATGATACGTATCACTAAATGTCAAATATACACACACGAGTTCGATTGATTTTCATACGCGTGTAAATTGAGCTCGTCAAGTTCAGACAGAGTAGGCGAAGCCATATTAATTAAGACAGCCGACGAGATAATCATGAAAGGGTCTAGCGCCCCGTTCGGTATAAGTGTGTTCCAGTAATCGCGTTATTATCAAAAGCAAACGTCTGAAAGACGGCCAAAATTTTTGTTCTCGAAATAGTATCCACCCACTAATCTACACGCTAATTTAGGAAGACCTGTTGCCAACGTTTAGTATTTTTTTATTGAATTTCAAACGTGAACGAACAAAATACTTCACGACACTCGATTCTCTGTCTATGCAATCTTTTTCTACATAAGTTCAGTTTCAACATGTTCCAGGAAAAAACAACTGATCAAAGATGAACAATATTCTTATTTAGATAAATTCTTTAAATAACAAATAAAAGATACACAGCTCTATTCGTTAGTACTAGAATGAAAATAAAAGCTTTAATTATAAGATTCATAAATTATGATGTATAAAAATTAAAGACAGCCCGAAATATTTCATAAGGGACGAATAAACATTTGACTGTCGTACCAAGTGAATGTTAAGAAAACATCGCTGTTCGTTATTTTTATTCGTTATTTATTATTTGAATCCACCCATCACTGTTATTCATAAATATTTTTACGTAAGAGATTGGTAAAGTCGATAATTAAAAGGGCAAACTGATAATTTCAGGTTACAAAAATAAAATCTTTCGAAATTATGCACAGCATACAAATTTTATAACAAGCAGTATGTTCTTTAAAACGTATCCACTGCATAAAAAGATAACTGAATGTACATATTTACATTAAAAGATAAACGTGACATAACTAGTTATCATAGGTAATCTATGTCTACAGATGTTCCTCATTGTTTTCCTATTTCCTTGTTGTTATATTGATAACGAAGATGCATTAGACGCACGTGGTGTGGTCGATCGACCATGCGGCCATTTTAACTAAAAAAATATGCAATTTTATCGATTCACTCATATTTTTAATTTTCCATTGTTAGAGGTGTAGAAATTAATTCTCTATCTTCAAATTTAATCATTTACAACTATACAGTGGGTGTAGACAGTACTCGTACATCGATCAATTTCCCAAAAAACTTTTGTGTGAAATTATAGTTTCTTAACCTTTTTTTTGATAATCAATGATATTTTACATATTCTTGGAATCTCTGAGATATATATAGTCCAAACAACATTTACTAGTTAATTTAATTCTTAGAAAAGTTACAATAATTATAAAATCAAAAGAAAATCCCACGAAGGAAGTATCATATACTTGTAAATTAATGTAAATTTCTTTTTTTTTTTAATGAAGTTTTAAATATGAAACAGTTGGCCGAATATTTATTGCTTCAACATTTCTATCGATTAAATGTTTTTTTCTTGTTAATTTCGCAACTTACATAAATACCTATTTTTTTTTTTGTAATCTATCTATACTAGAGATTTCTAAGAATATGTAGAATGTCATTGTTTATAAAAAAAAACAAGTTAATAAATTATAATTTTACATAGTTTTTTTTGGAAATTGATCGGTGTACGAATACTTTCTACACCCACTGTATATGTGCTTCCTTGGAATTTGTGTTTGAAGGAAAATTAAAAATTGTATGGTGTTTTTCTGTATAATTGAATCCCAAGTTTACTTTTAAAGGCACAGAACAATTTCCAACGCCTAACATATTAATATGGTTGCCATGATGGATCGTCCTACACGTTTTTAGTGTTTTTATTTTTGTTTCCACAATGTGTAAATGAATACACGAACGATGGTTTTGAATACAAAGATCTTTATTACCATTGTTACCACTAGTTTTACGAGAATTGCCCGTAGGATAGACAGCGTTTCGGTTTCCAGGTACTTGTCACTCGGAACGGAATGCGTAGATGCGTTTCGAATCGCAGGGAGATTCCAGTACGCTATTTAGAGCAAGCTCGAAAGTGTAGACGAAGAATATGCTTAACGCTCAAGAGCGTATAATACTTTAACCTTAATTATGATGACACGAGAGTACGCTAACTTCGTCGTTATTCGGACTTACGAACGATAACGTGGCCTTAGAAATTCGCTTAGCTTGAAAATACCGATTCCAAACGCGATCGAAATAAACGTTCAACATTTCACGATTCTGACAAATCGTCTTGGCTAATAATATGATACACACACATAGGATACGATTAAGAATATCGCTTATATTATTCAAAGGAATTGAAGGTAACGTAAATACCACTTTTTTCGTATCCTTCATATTCATTGAAGTCGAAATTATAGATTTGATGATTTCGAGTAAATGTTTCTTCAAGTACATGAACATAAATGAATTTTATACATATGTATATATTTGTAACGATAAATGTATTTGGAAACATTAAATCTATCATTTAATTCGAGTAAATGTTTCTTCAGGAATATGAACATAAATGAATTTTATAGATATGTATATATTTGTAACGATAAATGTATTTGGAAACATTAAATCTATCATTTAATTTGGACAAGTTTTTTTTTATACACATGTAAAGTTTATTCGCGTGTATGTTTATAACGGAACTTTTATTTGGAAATACCAAATCCATCATTTAATTTCGACTTTCATGGGACTGACTGTATTTCGAATACACTCAAATATTACACATTATTCAGCCAGCCAACTGTGTTTCACGCTTCGGTATGTTTGTTCCGAATATATCACGCCTCCTCTTCCGAGGTGACACAACCAAAAATTTCGAAATCCGGAAGTAACTCGTATCGCCTCCAAACCAACGCTGTCTAATCAAAATTTTGACTCGAGATTGAATTGTATTTTCGCTTTGATTACTCAAGCGTAACAACGTTTAAGCCAGGAATCGAATAATCGCGGAATCGCGTCACTTCTGAAGCAAGGGTGCAATGTACCGAAGAAATAAAAACGGACTTCTGCAACGAGAAAATCAATTACGAGATTCTATCGGGTTTAGAATCGTTCGTTGGAGGAATCTACGCGTTCGCTGTACGCTAGCGGCACGGCGCAATGTTGATAAAATATTTATTGAGTTGTCTGGAAAGTTCTTAAAAGGTGGAAAAATTGTGGAACAGAATGGTACATATACAGGGTATCCCAAAAATGTTGGAGGTCCTTGAAAGGGGTGGTTCGGGAGGTGATTTGAAACAACTTTTTCCTTAGCGAAATTGTTGTCCGAGACTTCGTTGAGGAAATATTAACGGAAAACACTGACCAATCAGAGCGCGAGTATGCCGGTGGAGCGGCCGCGGTAGCGAAGGCTACGCGCTGAGCGGCCGCGTCAATATCCTTCGATTCACGTCGAGTCACTTGTTCGCGTACGAGAGCGGCTACATAGCGCGTAGCCATCGCTATCACGGCCGCTCCACCGGCATACTCGCGCTCTGATTGGTCAGTGTTTTCCGTTAATATTTCCTCAACGAAGCCTCGCACAACAATTTCGCTAAGGAAAAAGTTGTTTCAAATCACCTCCCGAACCACCCCTTTCAAAGACCTCCAACATTTTTGGGACACCCTGTATAATTCAATAAATACATACAGTGGGTGCAGAATGTATTCGTACACCGATCAATTTCCCAAAAAACTTTTGTGTGAAATTGTAGTTTATTAACTTCTTTTTTTATAATCAATGATATTTTACATATTCTTGGAAATCTCTAAGATAGATATAGTCCAAACAACAATTACTAGTTTATATAATTTGCGAAATTAACAAGAAAATACAAAAAATCGGCAGAAATGTAAAAGCAATAAGTATTTGTACGATTCTTATGACGAACCATTTACAGCAGAGTTTGTAACGTAAACACATTAGTTTATTGCTCCGTAGGAATTAGAAACCATCGAATTTCCAAGAAAGTACTTTTAAAAATGAAGAAGAATTAAAAAGATCTAAAAATTGAAGAAGATCCCACTTCGAATAACTAATAATTTAGTTAATTTAACGCTTAGAAGAGTTGCAATAATGATAAAATCAAAAGGAAATCCCACGAAGGAAGTATATCATATACTTGTAAATTAATGTAAATTTCTTTTTTTTTTTTAATGAAGTTTTAAATATGAAACAGTTGTCCGAATACTTATTGCTTCAACATTTCTATCGATTAATTGTTTTCTTCTTGTTAATCTCGCAACTTACATAAATAGCTATTTTTTTGTTGTACTCTATGTATTCTAGAGATTTCCGAGAATATGCAGAATGTCATTGTTTATAAAAAATAAGTTGATAAATAACAATTTTACATAGTTTGTTTGGAAATTGATCGGTGTACGAATACTTTCTACACCCACTGTATCGAAATTCAAACGTGTCCTCGAATGTTTCTTAAAAATTGGCACGAACCTTCTGGACAACCCAATATGATTTAGGAAAGAAGGGACAAGACGTTCCTTGCATCGCTGACCGAACGTTGACTCACCTTGAACCGAACGATAGGTAATTCCAATTGCATCGAAATTCCGTCGATATACGAGGACTTGGAAGTTCTTCCACGTCGAGTTTAAAACGGTCGCGATCGAGTGAACAGGTTAATCACAGACGCTAGAGTACGGAACGTGTAGAGAGTGAAAAAAAAAAATAAAAAATCCGAGGCAGATGCACCTTTCTAGCTGTCACTTAAGGTAAACACCTGTGTACACTAAAGCCACGATCAGGTAGACGAGACGCTCACGGAAAACCGTCACGATGAAAGGGTCCTCGTCGCGAACAGGTACCCTCGTGAAAACATGTTACTCTGACCCGAACGGTAACAAATTTCAGACGACGGATGCGTAGACGCGGTTCGTGCTTATGACAATCGCGAGCGAACTAAACGGAAGAACGAAAGCACAACGAAATCGTAATGCGAAAACGAACGAAACGATTAACCGAGAGGAGCCATGACAGGTACGCATGCGCAACGAAATAGGAATGCCGTGAACACACAGCCACGTTTGCCCACAGCTATACACGGATACAACTAAACATCACGGTCGTACCCGCAGGTACGAGAAAGCACCAGTGTCTCTCAATCTACGGAGTACATTTGTATAGGTTAAAAAGGACTAGAACGTTTTTACGAAAATCTTTAAATTTCAGAATTTTTCTCGCTAATCTATAAATAAACGTTGATTCGCTTCGCGCGAGAGGTGCATTTTAACCCTTGGACGACCATACGATACCGTTTCTCGCAGAGTACCCAATAAATTCATAGAATACAACGAAAAGTGCCACTCATTCAATGTCTTCTTGACAAATATTAGTATTTATTAGAGATCCCTACTTCACGTGTATCGAAATACCCGGGTACATGGGTAATTAATGGATCCGTGTTTTAATACGTGTATTTTTAATACACGGGTACCCGGATATCGAAATACACGGATATCCAGGTACGTGTACGTGTACATCGAAATACACGGGTACGCACATTGACTTTAACATTTATTTTAACTAATAAATAAAGTATTACAAATTGCACTAAACAATGTATTCTGTTACATTTATTCTTCTTATGTTTATATCTTTTTCATTTATTTGTTTTATTGCTTGTCAATATTTTCAAAATGAATAAGAATCATTATTTTATGTAGAATAAAAGCTTTTTTTGCATAAAAGTTTGTATATAAAACTGTGTAATTGGATACTGTACCCGTATAATTCGATGTATGCGTACCCGTGTATTTCGATGCACGTGTATTTCGATACCCGGGTACCCGTGCATTAAAAATACCCGTGTTCTTAATTCCCTAATACACGGGTACACGGTACACGTTTAATACCCGTTCAAAACCGTGATCTCTAGTATTTATGTATTTATCAGATAGATTGTCAGAAGAAATAGTATTATAACCACTTAACCATTTATTCGTCATTTTGTCGTATTTAAAGTACCAAACTTCCTCCATCTGATCTCCATTACAATAAATCTGTATATTCCCAACAATAAGTCTTAACTATCGTGGTCCTATATGAATCCTGTCGTCCAAGGGTTAAATACAGTGGACTGTGAAAGACAATTATTCTGATAGGTTCTAACCACTTTCGAAGTCGCGTACGAATAACGTCTTTGTTAAAAATATTCATTTCTGTCTTTTTACGGAGTGGCGACACTCTCGGTACTTTTCTTGTAAACCTCTTTGTAAACCAGTTCTTGCATTTGCATCCTTAGCAGCATTCTTCTATCGGCCGGTAATGTTCTTACATGAGGTAAAAGACTCATAAGGAAATAGTAATTATCATCGAAACGGTTGCCTTCTAAAGGATCCACCGTAAGACCAATGCCAGTGTCATGGTCGCCCATCAACACTTGTTCAGGTGAGATGTTTTGCAACATCATCTCGTTTTCCGTGAGGTTGTCAGAGACGCTTTGAAACTCGAGATTGTCGAAGTTCTCTTCGGGTTCTTGCTTCACGTCTATGTGATTGATGCTGTCGATCTTCAATCCGTTTTCGTTACTTATCGACAGTAGATGATTAGAGATCGTACCACGATCCTCCGCGTTTCTACTTGTTACCGACGAACCGTTCTGCAACAGCATCCCGTCGCTTTCACCCTCGCTGTGTATTCGATCGTCGTCTTGACAAGAATTACTCCGTTCCCAAATCGGAGGACGAGGTAACATTTGTTCTTTTAAAAACTGTAAACTTTTGAAATGTATCCATACCGGCCTATTACGATGGAATTTACTTTTACGGTAGACTTGGTCCTTTTTTAATTCCGCCCGAAACGTATCTCGTAAACCTTTCCATTTCGCTTTTAATACCGGTTCTGAAAAAAAAAATATGTGAAAACAATTTCGTTTCGATTACAAAAACCACGATTTGCCGTTACAGCGACTTTTACAGTTTGTTTCAAGCTAATCGAAGGATACGTGTACTAAGATTAAAGGGGCATTTCACTGTACGACGCACAAAAAAAAGCATATTTTCAATCATTTTTTTCTCAGGAACTATTGCATAAAATTGAATGAATGTTTCTTCCCTTTAAAGGTATGATTAAGGAATGTAAACAAAATTTTTTTTTTTTGGTAAAAAATATTTCGTCGTTTATTTATAAAATAATATGCATGTGTGCAAAAAAAAAAGTTTGCCGTTGGCGCAGGTGATTTTGGCTCTTCTGGTAATCTGAAACAGAAAATCGAAAAAGTTTATTAAACTATGTCGTCACACCTATCGTCGGAACCTTCAAGTAGTTGATATTTTGATTTTTACTTACAATTTCACCTGATTTACGGTACAAAAAAAGTGTTTCTTTTTTCTCTCTTTCACAAGAAACGCTACCATTTTGTTTATTTTCGATGAAATAAATAAGTGGAGGTTCCGACTATAGGTGTGACGACATAGTTTAATAAACTTTTTCGATTTTCTGTTTCAGATTACCAGGAGAGCCAAAATCACTTGCGCCAGCGGTAAACTTTTTTTTTTGCGCACATTATTTTGTAAATAAATGACGAGATATTTTTTACCAAAAAAAAAATGTTTTTTATTTACTTTCCTTAATCATACCTTTAAAGAGAAAAAACATTCATTCAATTTTACGCAATAGTTCCTGAGAAAAAAATGATTGAAAATATGCTTTTTTTTTGTGCGTTCACAGTGAAATGCCCCCTTAAAACTTTTTTTTTGTCCTGTATATAATATATACAATATATATACAATTAAAAATTAATATAATCTATTCAGAATTTAAATAAAAGATTTCAGAAGGGGCAAAAGTGATTCATAAAAACGACAGATGACATTTATTGACTATGCTCACGCGCATGCGGTTTTATCAACACTCAACTTTGAAGTCGCATTTTAAATCATCTCGTGGTGTAATACTATAAATAGTAAGAAGTCGTAAGTTAGCAATATTCTGTAGAATCAAATTTTGTCCGACTGTAATGTTTTCAAGTTAGATTCAGCACTTGAATTCATTAATATACTTGGGTAACGAGACGTCATGAAAAAGTGAGGTTAACTAGACTGCAATTCGTATGTGCGAGTACGCGATATTATGCTTCTGAAAAACGGTGTCGTCACTCTTGAAATAGTTACATCTTTCTTGTACAATAATTAAAGGAGATCGTACAAAAATTTTCCGCGACAATGAAAACGATCACGTTTACATGCTTTACATAATAGTGTAATAGAAATTAGTAAACAAGTATAGATTGTCAAATATTATTTGATTATGGAATTATACAGAATTATCATGTACAATCAAAGTGATCATTTGTTACAATAATATTGACACATACTCGAGGACAATTGTCATCTGCTAGAGGGACAAATAAATTCTCAACTGTGCAACGAATGACGAAAAAGCGCGCGCGAACGATATACATGATAAACGATTTTATCAATGCACCTACTGGGCAACTTGAATATCGATGCAATTTCCATCCAAACGCGGTTCGTCACCTCGCGATTGTGATAAGAGATATGTCTTTGGTTCCAAAGCGCTGGCCGCTTATAAACTTCGGCGATTAGCCGATTCGCGTCCATCTTCACTTCGTCCCTCATATCTACCGGTTTCAACAAAAGATCGGATTTTTTTTCGTAAGAACAACAAGACAAGAAACACGGGTATTAGCTTGTCAATCCGATGGGAACAAAGTACGGGCGAATACTAGCGCTGGGATAGCGATTAGCGCGCAGGACGCTCTCGGGTAACGATCGATTCGCGTTTCGCCCTCATCTTGCCCTTGCTAGCGCGAGCAACTTCATCTTTACATTCTCGCAACTCCAAGCATACTATTTACGCGCATCTCGCAACCTGAAATTCGAATATTTTCCTCAATGAAATATATCATGAGAAATCGCATTACGTACGCAAGTACAATAGTTAAAATTATCATAATTGCTAAATCTAAACTTTAATACACATATTACAGGTAATAAAAATCATGCACGGGTTTGAATTAATAGCTCAAGGTGCGGAGGCTCGAGTTTATAAGGGCGTTTATTTAGGAAAGCCAACATTAGTAAAAGAGCGATTCGAAAAGAAATATCGACATGTAGATTTGGATAATCGCCTCACGAAGGATCGAATAAAAGCTGAATGTCGTGCTATTATTCGCGCTAAAGCCGCTGGTGAGATAGCGATGGCAAAAATAGGGTAAAGTATTTTTTTTCTAGCTTTGTATATTTACACTTCTTTTTTCTTTTAAGGAGTAGTAACGCCAGCTGTATACTTCGTACATTTAGAGCGTCGATGCATTTATATGGAGTATATAGAAAATGCAGTTGTACTAAAAGACTTTATAGGAAAGAATGTTGCAAAGGATGTAAATATTGAACATTTATCGAAGTTTATAGCACGAGGTTTAGGTGTCCTTATTGCCAAATTGCATTCCAAAAATATAATTCACGGGGATTTGACCACTTCGAATATACTTTTACAAAACGTTGGCGAAGATGTAAACATTGAAAAATGTGACGGTAGGCGGCCATTGTATTTCAATTATTGTAATCTATCTTGCAGTAATACTATTTCTTATTTTTTTTTTTATAGCCACAAACAAGTTTGTTGTAATAGATTTTGGATTAGCTCGCGTAGAGTCGAGCGTCGAAGATAAAGCAGTTGATTTGTACGTCCTCGAACGGTCGCTACTTAGTGCACATTCTGAAATACCGTTACTATTTTTAGAAATATTTAACACTTATCAGAAACATTATATAAACAAAATACAATGCAAAGAGGTTGTTTCTAAATACAAAGACGTACAAGCACGAGGACGGAAACGGTTGATGGTCGGATGATCCCGATATTTTTACGAATGTATTAAACACATTTTATTAACATATTTTTAATAACTTATACATGTAAATATACTTAAATAAACCTTTTGTGTAAAACTTGAGCGGTGTTATTTTATTCGTTATTAACTATTTTAACACCCAATATCGATTGTTTTAAATGCTAATAACTATATACATGCTGTGTTTTTTAAAAAAGTGATTAGTCATTTGTTATAAAATTTTTAATAGTTTTATTTATTATTTAGATAAAAAGTTATATAAACCAATATTGATAATGAAATTGAAATATATATTAATTTACATTAATATTTCGATTTTCTGTATAACTGCATTGTACTTGTCAAGACATGAATTGGAATTAATAACAATTTCTCGTTAAATATCCTAGTAATTAAGTAGAAAAAAGTATTGAGCATACAAATTTCATTAATCATAAGCAAAATGTTAAACCTGACCAAATATTGAGCAATTTGGTTATTCTAACTGGTTAATTATATTAAATATCTGTATATGTATATAATCTGATTTGGTATATGCAATATGTAACTTGTTAGAGCAATATTTTACAGCATTTACTTAAAACAATTAATTCTCTGTCAATGCTTTGATGTATATATAGGATATTAAAGTATTCCATAACATTAAAAAAAAATATTCTTAATAACAAATAATTGATCTTTAAAATATAGTACATGAGAGTCTCCACAAATACATAACTTTTAAGTGGATAAATATTTCTTATACAACAATGTTTAACTATATGTAACAAAGTACGTAGGTAAACATTTTACAAATCGAATATTACATCTCATGTTTATTAAATGCGCTACAAATTCGAGGAGCAAATCAGCTATATAAAGGATGATTGTTTTCCACAAAAATGTTTATAATGCAATTTCCATGTATGTATAAAGCACTTGATCTGTGAAAATTATTATATGCATTTATATTTTTATCAGTCAAGTTACCATTGGTATATGATAAAAATGATCAGTCAAAATGCAGTCCTGTATATATAATGATCCAAGTTACCTATAAACAATAATTTTATTGTAAAATCTATAATAAACCAAATATTTAAATCGGATGATATTCAAACACTTCAAGTTACCAAAAAGCCAGCAAACGAGGTCATAAAACCTTCCTTAGTTAATTCCCATACACCACCAAATTCCTCTTCATCGATTTGTTGAAAGTTACTGAAGTACAAGTATGTAACGCCTGCATTAACTAATACAAATCTGAAATGTAAATTATAACTTTCAAGCGTAATTCAATTTGTAGTAGGAATTTAATTAGAGATTAACAATCTCTAAAATTACGTGGTAGTCAATATGTTATCGTGTAGAGATATGACAAATGAAACTTACAGTAATAGAGCTATGAAACCTTTTAAAGGTATGAGACCCCATCCTATACCAACTATAATTCCAATTGCTTGTCTAGCCCAATATATAACGTCAAGAAATTCTTCCTATTACAATGAAAGATAAGTTATTTATAGACAAAATCATGAAAACGAGTAGAAACTTAATTAATTTAAGTGTGGTTATGTTTACTTTATCCGGCCATTCGGAGTTCGCTGTTATCGCACGTGTCCAAACGCTTAATTCACATTTACCACCGTTTCCGATCTTTTCAGATTTTGAACGCGACATTTCTACACCTCCTCAACTTAACAACATAAATTGTACAATAAAATTCATTAGCATCTCCTAGGTAAACGGTACATGCACACCTTATTCCCTTCAATCTAATCTTTCACTACAATACTTCTTCCAACTCTTGAATTATGGAAATGTGCCAGATTCCATACAATTTTTCACGCACGCGCACTAAGGTGTTTTGACTCTTTACGAAACCCTACTATATTTATTTCTATAAATGTTACTTAAGTATTTTTTAATTCTCAATGCTTATAAAAAGATTTATTATCGATAAAAATATATTCGTGAAGATATTAATATCATCATCAGTACATTATATGTCATTAAAGAATTTCTTTAAATTTTGCTTCTTTTAAATATTTAACAACAATGAATTGTTATATGATTTATGTAATATGTTCTATTACAATATTATAAAGATATACAATAAACACTCAAGACTTGGTGCATTTTGTTCCTGAAAACTTGTTGAAACATTAATAAAACAGAATACAAAATCTTTTTGTAGTACGTATATATTTTCTAAAATTAAATTGTAAAAATCATTTAAACATGTAGGGTTATTAATGTACCTATTAAAAAAAACTATCAGTGTCATGTATGTAATAGGAGTCTTTATTTACTAGCGAATTATATTGCATAGTTAAAAAGGCACGTATCAAAATCTGCTGCAAATACTGATACCAATCTTTGTTCTTTTATATTGAGTAACATACTATGTAGATAGTAATATATACATAGCAATTTAATAGCAAATTTTGAGACATGCCTAATTGTACAACATATGTATATATGTATATATATAAGTGTAAATACAGGAATGTATTGAAGAAAGAATATATATAAATATTATATCATACACTCATTAGTACATACATACTGCAGATACATTCAATATATTTACATACTAAAATATTGTCTATTACAGGTGATTTTTATTGGTGTACAAAGTTATAATTAATATTAAAGTAATAGTAAAATAATAATATATATGTATTATATAAAAGAACACTATTTTGAAGTTTACAATATTCTTGAATGTATGTTGTGTAACTTAAAATTTATATAAATGCCTTAGATTGGAGTATAATGAATTTTGATGGATATACAAAATCATTATATTTTTGGCACAATAGGTTAAATTTCGTTTTCTTACATTATACATATATAACTTCATGTAATAATGATGCATTCTTATAAGCATATAATGAATTGTATTTCTATATTTTAAAAAACCACCTGCAACATAACATGTATACAAATTGTTAACTGTATGCACTTATGTCAATGTACAAGTCCATACATGTTTACAAGTAAATACCATTGGAATAATTAAATTATACGTTTGTTAACCATTACTCTAACCATACAATTATTAAGTAACTTCACGATTAACTACCGTGTGATACTGATTCATTTGCGCTATGAAAATTTCTTACATTGATTTAATAGGGCATATAACTTGCTGTTATATTTATCACTTTAATTTACGTTGGTTTATTGATTTAGTATGATTAGTTGTATAAGGAAAGATGCATTTGAACAGTTAATTGTTAGATTTTATGTTTAATGTCTGCTTATGTCATCCATGAGTTTAAATATAATGATTAGTATGTTGGACATAACTCAGATCTGGCAGAATAGTACAGTAATTATATTTTCCTTTAGATTCTTTAATTATACTGAGAAATGAAAGTGTTCAATTTAACATGCAATGTCGTCATCAAGAACATGTTTCTACATATCTGTATGCAAAAGGACACGTATATATATACTCTGTTATTTATGCTTATTAGTACAAATTGAAAATGAAATCGATGTTCAAATACTTATTTGACTTTGAGAATTGTAATCGTAATCATCGCTAATTTACCTATGCGTAACTTTTTATACACGTGTATGTACATAGGTTCCTTCCTATCAAAAAACTAGTTTTCAATATACTTATATATGTCGGAGTGTGTTACATTTATATTTATCAATATATTCTTATATAATACAAAAAAGTTGTTTGTGAAAAAGCTTTTCCTTTTGAAGGAGAACACATAGAAGAAGGGCTTTAGTAAATTATTTTCGATTATCGTATATCTTTAACAAGGTATAAAATAGTAAATATAACTTACAAATGTTGCAAAGAAATGCTTGAAATACAATAATAACCAATAACGTCTTTCTAATCATTTTACTTGAAAGTTTTATGTTTCAACATTGATACCATCATATGTACATGGTACATGTGTGTCGAATCTTTATGTGTTTTATCACTTAACTCTAATAAATCATCGACTTCGCCGCTGACAGTTTCGTCCTATAAAATTTTATTTAAATTTGACCCTATTGTATGGAAAACGAAGACATTTGCTAATTTATAGAATAATGTTATATGGCACACAGCATACATTCAATGATTCTTAAAGTTTGGTTTTGTGCATTTTTCAATTCCAATGGTAAATATTGTATCGGGAAAAGTTTTTTAAAAATATGAAATAATTTAATAAAAACTGTGTGAAAATAAAGTATGACTAATATGGCTTAAATAAAAATTTGCATTTTTTTAAATCACAGGCCTTTTACAATTGTGTTTTTAGAAAATACATCAGAGTAGGTATTGCAAACTTAAAAAATTTAATTTCGGAAGACATTCCATATATTCGATTAAATAATTTTAGTAAACCTTTCTTTTATTGCGATAAGTATAGGTTATGCTGTTCTTTATACAATAGAACAGCTGTCATGTATTTAAAATAATTAAAATTATATAATTAATAGTATAGTTCAGACAGTCTGTTACTTGAAATGTACAGACAAACAATATATAAATATTTAAATGTTAAAACAAATATAATGCGATTCGTCATTCAAATAATATCATCGTGAATAGCAAACAATTCTTTCTTAAAAATCCGAAGGAATGTAGAAGCGTAAAATATATTCTCTGTGGAAGTGTGAATTTGTAACTTACTATAATAAAAATAATAAACGATTTTAGTACATTAAATAGATACTTACTGCTAAATTAAGATAAGCTGCGTTAGCAGTGTAGTTTTATGAAAAACTATAATAAGATTTGTAATGCCACCTTAATAATAGATTAGTAATTTCTATAGAGACCCTCAATACCCTGTCTCTAACATCGTTAGCACTTGCCCCGCATTTGACTTCATATGGCACAAGTACGAACGCATCACTTTGCATATATTTGTGCCCAGTATAAAATATTATGACAAAAATTGTCTCAAGAAGTAACCAATCATTAACATTGACTTTCAAATTGCTACTGCTTTAAGTCACGGTCAAACGTCAACTACGTCATCATTATTATAGTTAAAATTTGAATCACGTAAAAATGAAGTACGTCGAAGTTTATAATTTATATGATTTTCTTCAACCGTTTTCGGCACTTCCGTTACCTGAAAATGTAACGAATTACACATATACGATTATATATTAAACAAATAGGTGACGTTTCATCAACAGTTAATATGCTTCAACAAGTTCTTTTGTGTGTTATGTCAACGATAGGTTACATGTACAAAATAAAAAATATTAACTCGTATTAATAGGCTCCAAGCGCAACAACAAATTTTGTAAGCTTTTACAAAAGGTCTCAGGGATAGAATTTGAAACATTGCAAAAAAAAAAAAAATAAAAAACAAAAAGAAACATTACATGAAATACCTTGGCATCTGGTTGGTTGATAGAACGTTGAAGCACCGACCTCCATGCTGCAGGTGCGGTATGCTCTAAAATAATATGTACAGCAAGGCTCCTTAATTTAAGGGTTCAACATGCATATTTGCAATGTACTCGAAATTATAAAGCAATTTATAATTTATTGAAAGTGATGCGTGAATTGAGTCGTGTACCAGGTAACTATATACGATCAACGTGCAATAGGAAAAACATTTTTGTTTACCATTTTCTTTCCTCTCTGTTTTACTCTTGTTTAAACTAGCTGCTAATTCTCTGACAGATCTTTTCTCTACACTTGTATTACTTAAAGAACTAGCAGTGCTACTTGCTGATAACGTCGGTGGCAGTGAAGCCGGACCACTAACGCCACTATCTGTCGATTCATCGAGAGCATCACCTGAATCAGGCGTATTCCCTGCTGAAGTATTTGGACTAGAACCATCGCTTAATAAATTAAATTCGCCTACAAAATTAAATTAAATGTTTTATAATAAAGCTGCAATAACGAGGCATACAATACACTGATATAAATTACGTGGTATATAATTTGATAATTTACCAGATTTTCTATCAGTAGCCATACTCCAAGGTCTTGGTTTCGGAGCTGTCGCAGGTGGTGTTAGTTTACTTTTCGAAAGAACACCATTACTTTTTCCATCATTCGTGGAACTACATCCTTTAGTTGAAGGTTTTAATACTGGAGATTTCGATGCTTCCGAATTACTTTTTGTACTACTGCCATTTGTTGGACTTCGAAGATCAAAACCTGTTGACCTCAGTTTAAGAGAAGGCAGAGGTTGACTTGCAGATTTGTCCACTTCCATGCCAGATTTTTTCGTTAAACTTTTTCTGCTTTCGTAATCTTTAGGAACAGACGTTGCAAGAGATACATCCCTATCTAAAGAATTTGCAGCAGTTGTTAGTTGTAACATTTTAACATTTTCATCTGAATCCCGCAAACTACGTGAATTTGTACCAGATCCAGTAATCGGTAATGTGCTACGTTTAGAAATGTCAGCAGAAGTACTGACAATACTATTACTACTCGTATCTTTATTACTACCAGATTTCGCAACAATTCTTTCGTGATTTTGATCATTATCAGTCGTATTCCGTCGAGCTAATGGAGATGCAGTTAATGGTGAATCACCTTGAGATCTCCTACCGACGAGAGGCGAAAATTTTTCCAAATTATCACTGGACCGCGATCGTGGTGTAGGTTCGAGAAGCGTTTTTAACATTGGAGAACTGCAACCAGGCTTCTTATCCGTGTCAGGTGGAATACTTTTGTGACTTGCAAGAGATAAATTCGGACTACCATCAGTCGGGAACGTATGTAAGGAGCTGCAGTTTAATCGAACAAAAATAAATTAATGCACACAATTTGTATTAAAAAAGCTATGAGTAACATTTCTAAACATAATACCTATCATCGCTTGTTGGAGATATAAGAGGAGTTGTTGGCGTAGTTGGTCGAAAGAATACATCAAGGCCTTCTCCAAGAGCTAGACCATCCACCTGTTGATCGGGTCTCAACATTGGCCTTGTAGGTGCTCTAGTCTTTGTTCTGCGTGGTCTAGATTTTACTAAATGTTGTAGTTGTTGACCCACGGTATTAGGTAATTCAGAAACAGAATCTAATGATTCTGTTAAAGAATGTTCTGTTTCTGAAATAGCTAAAACAACTTCGTAATTAATTTAAAAATTATACATGTATCAAATACATATGTTAAAATGATATTAACCTTCTGCTTGACTTTTTGGCAGTGATGGTAGTAGGTCAGGAATATCATCAGCAGAAAGTCCTTCAACGGAATCGACTACAGATTTAGGTCGTAATTTTCTTCCATGTAAACTTTTACGTTTGTTTGACAGATGTGGAGTGGCCTAAGTATAACAATGATATATATATATACATATATATATAATTACTATATTATATGTACAATACATTGAGAGATGATGAAAAACTAAAATGATAAATGAACTTTGTTTTTAACCATGTGATTATTTAACCATACTTACAAGATTCAAATAATCCAATTTCTAGATAGACATGAAACCATATCATAATTACTATAATAACTATTATCTGAGTATAAAGCGCGAATATTAATGTCACGAAATCATGTTTACTTACCATTGGAGACTGATCGCTAGAACACTGACCAATAGAATTCACAAGCGAATAAGTTTCTGGTGGACAGTCATCTTCTGATGCAAGACTGGTTCTACCAATGGGTAATGTTGTAGAAACACCTACTGTACTTGTAACACCTATGACGCTTCCGCTACTCATTGAACCAGCACTAGGCCGTAATACATCTGGAGTGCTACTTCTTGTTCTACTATCGCAATCGCCAATCTAAGAATGTCAATGTACAAATCAGAAAATTTTTAGAATAATTTAAAAACTTATTTTTCTATTTATTATACTCACCAAATTTTTATAACTTCTTGATAACGATTCAATTACTTCATCTGTTATTCTGTCAGATACATGTGAAGCAACAGCTAAATTTAATTCGCTAAAAAAAAATTAATACTTGGATAAATTCAGCCATAGTTGTTTAATAAAAGTATTATCGAAATAATTAATTTCAAAAACTTTTCTTTTTAATATAATAAGTAATTTTAATCCGTACTTCACTCTATTGACTATGTCTGCTCCAGCTTGTTCTGTGATAGTAGTGTGTATGAATTCATTGCTGATTTGATTTTTTTCTTTGCAGCTGTTACGTAGATCATCTTCAACGGCAATTGATTCGCTCTCATCTCCTCTGATTACCGTTTGTGAAAGTATGGTAGGACATTGTTCATTTGCACATTTTACCATAGCGTCTAAAGAATCCTACATTCGAGTTCAAATATTTTTAATTATGTTTCAAAAAATAATATCAATCGTTATGTATAAAAAAACACGTAAAATAGATACCTGTAAATATGCTGTTACAACTTTATGAAGTTCGTTCGCCATATCATGTAATTTCAACTCAATTGGATTATTTTCATCTCGTCGTTGAAGGACTTCGTGCAATCTCGGGAGAAGCTGAAAATATTACTTTCGTAAGGTTACGTTCTGAATTTCTTTATGTTCATTTATTTGTACCTGTTTAGAATTATCTGCATCTTGTATAAGTCCAGTTGCAAAATTAATATCATTATTAGCATCACAGCTTTCTGCAGCAATAGCTTTAATAGTGTCTTGAGTTTGAACAACAAGCCTATCAACCATTTGTTGCGTAGAGCTTAATAGAAAACCTTGTTGCAGCCTGAAGGCCTGTCCGTGACTATATTTGCAAGGAGTAACATTTCTTTGTAAAAGATCTTGTATTTTTTTTGCTAACTGTTCCGTTTTTTCAGCAGAAGTTTTCATACAAGGTTGTAGGTCAAAGATTGGAAATGGCATGTGCCTCACGCTACAATTTCTATGATAGGATACCATATAATTAAGGAGACTATTAATATATAATTACGTTATGAATATGAGAAATAAACATACTTTTCTAAAGCATGAACAATGTCGGCATAACCTTGGAGTGTAATATTATTTTTATCATAAATAATGGTCCTCAAATGATTGTTAATTTGTAGTGCTTTCGCTAATAATCTTGCACCAGGATCTCCAATTTGATTACCACTAATATCTATAGTATGAAGACATGTATTACTACCAAGAGCATTAATAAGATTATAGAGATCAGACTTTAATCGAGAATCTGGTAAATGTAATGCTTGTAAAACGCAATCGTCTTCTTGAAGCATTTGTACCAGGGCATCCATTACAATAGCAATATGTTTGCTTTTCATACCAACGGTATTACGACCCATGTATAATTGTTTTATAGATTTATTTTTCCCTACAGCAGTTATTACTTGTGCTAGATCAACATCCATATCTGGAAAGAAACAAAAATAGAACATAGAATTCCAAAATTTCGTACTGATATTTTTTCAAATGTAAGCCATTCGTACTGCTGTCTGAAATATCCAGTGATGCTATGCAACGCACGCCATGTATACACGACTCCAACACGTGAGCACCCATGGAACCCAAGTTGTTTCCACTCATATCGAGTTCCAAACCAACTGTGCTTTCATTGCATGCCAAACCAAGTAATAAATGCTTCAATGCTTCTAGTGGTAATTTGCAACAAGATATATTTAAGTACTTCAATGAAAGTGTAGCTGTAAAGAACTGCTTAAAGCTGGGAGGTATTTCTTTGGTCTTCTTGCTTGAAAAAGAGTTGCGAGCGACATTTAAATGGACTAGATTAGTTGCACAACCCCGTAATAAAGCACCAAACAGCTGAATAACAAATGCAAACATTAAAATTCTCATTTATCGTGTTACAATTTTGTATGTACTAAGTTGAATACTTACACATTCCAGTGTAGTATCTGTACCACTTAGATCTAAATGAGTTAGGCTATTAGGTTGTGCCAGAAAGTTGCACAAATTCTGCAAACAAATACACGATTTGTGTAAATTTATTATAAGTAATAAATTATTGTATTAAATGTCACATTCTTATGTAACACACTTACATTGATATCATCTTTTAAAGAGTTTTCTGAAAGATTCAAATATTGCAAACTAGTTGGCATGCTTCTATTTAAACTTAGTGCATGTGCAATTTGACTTATTCCTTTTCCTGTTAGTCCACAATGTGCGAAATTTAATTTTTGTAAACCTTTAGGTAGTTTTCCAATAGGTCCGCTTAAATGTGCACCTCCTTAAAAATAATATTACCATAAATAATACCATTAATTGACACACATATTTATTACTCTAAAACGTTCAACTAATTATTCGTATTCATATTAAATTAAGCACAATATAACATATAATGTTGCATATACATATATTAGTGGAATATCTAAACAGAAGATTACATGTTTAAGTACAAAAGGATGAGGAGTAATTTAATTAAAAAACACTAGTAAAGGTATCGGAAATAGTGATGGTTATTTGCACACCTTGCATTAACTTGGCAATTATTCCACACAAGCTAGAGACTCCTACAAAAATATAAAAAATAAATGTGTACAGGAGTATGTTTAAGTGTTTTAAAAACATACAAAAGTATAAAAAATTTAAAACATTAAATGAATCTACCACAAGGAGGAGATCTAAAATAGAGATCTCAATATATAATGCTTACCTTTATCTTCAATAGTATTATGTGATAGATCAATAGTTTGCAACATTGTATTAGCATTAGAAATTAGAGCTAACGATAGTTTGTGCGCAAAATCCCTAAAAAGAATCTTTTTAAAATTTCGTTTACTAAAATTACTTTCACAAAATTCATGCATCATTGAATTTTACCACTTAATTCCAAGATTATCTAAATAAAGTTCCTGAATGGAAAGAGATCTGCGCATAACGTGTAATAATCTTTCCAAAGGTTCATGACTTAATTTAAGATGAGATGCTCGTAGCTTTGTAAACCAAGTGTTATATTCCAAGGCAGAAATGATTGGCACCAAATCTTTCTGATCTAAGTGATCGAAATCTCTTAAATTTAATTCCCTTGTGTCGTGAGAGAGGTATATTGTATCAACATCCTGTAAATTGATAACTTCTTCAACAAAAATTCAGTAACAAAAGTACCATTATTTTCGCACGTTTTAAAAATATTACCCAAGCGACTTCTTCTCTGTATGGTACACCATGTAAATCACACATGCATGCATATTGGGTCGAGAATCCACCACACGGTCCTGTATGTCTTGTTGCTTCTGTACTTCTAGCTAATTCGCTACCTCTTATACTCTGCAATCTACTAGCTGGTATTACTTCTATTTTCCTTATAATATAACTATAAAAAGGATTTTACCATTAATGATACTATATCAATTCTATAGTAACTACAAATAAATATGCAAGAAAGTAAACACATACTTTAGTGGAACCGTGGGAAAGATATTTCGAATTGCAGTGTGTAAGGCCTCAATCATTGCATCTACTTCTGTGGTATCTGCACCTGCTCCTGTAGTAGTAAAATTGTAATACCTTTCTCCGACAGTCAAAGATAACTGATTCGATCTTTTGGATTCTATAGATGTTATTTCTAAATAATGGAAATGGCAGTCGAGCTACAAATTAATACACAATTAATAAAATAATCATACACTTTTATCTGCTATAATGAAACAATCATTTAATCTTACCCTTGTGGGTACTTTGGCCGTTAAAAGAAAGAGACGGCATGGTGAAAAAACCTTAAATTATAAAAATATAATTAAAGGACCATAATAAACAACTAAATTCTTGCCATAATAGTTTTGACATATCAATTATAACTTACTAGAACACGATTTTCTTGTTTATCCTGCTTTGTTTCCAATTTCACAACGTTTTTTAGTAATATCTTGACGTGCTTACCGAGTAATGCTTTAACCGATTCTATAAAGGATGAATCATTTATAAGCAAACGATATCGAATACAGCATAATATAAAATGTGCGAAACAGAAATATTTATGAAATTGTGTCATAACCCAATTTGCATACTTGTGATATAAAAGGAACAACTATTACAGTTTTAATAAACATTATTGGAACGTGATTACTCGAAAGAATAAATAATATATATTATTTCGTTGTATGACAGTTCCATGATACGAACGTAAACATTCAGACATCAAGACAAACCGTTTAAATCTTTCGTAAGTTGCGATCTGGTTGACATTTTGCTAGTCGTCTTATTTTTCAAACATAACCGAACTCATTTAAGACATCGTTTTTTCTGTCACCCAGTGACTCAACTTTTACGTCTTTCTTAAAAAAATGTTAGTGTAAAGGGCGATGTCACGAAACTATAAAGCAGAATAGCCGCCATATTAGCACCTGCCCGCGAACCATACTATTCCATTCCGGTCCGTTCCATCATTACAAGTAATTGCAAGTAATTATACTGTCTTGGATGATTTCTGACGATATTACTTTTATTGTAATTTTAGTAACAGTAGAGAAGAAACTAACGTACATAGGATTTATAGTTTATACATATAATAATTCTTATATGTCGTTACTATTTTGTAATAAAACAGGATTTTCAGACATGTAATCTTTAAAGTACAGCTAATATATTGTATTTCTTTATAATAACATTTTAATACACGTTTGATTATCCAAATAGCGCATAAACCAAAGTTTATCTTAAAAAAATTAATGCATTTCGTGGTAGTATTTTACCTATTGTAAGAGTAGGTATATTCGTTCTTTTCGAAATACAGGGGGAAAAAGATATGTATACAAAATTGCAATAGATCATAAGCTTTCTAAATTTGATGTATAGCTACGATAATAAATATAGTATATGTGATATGTAAATTGCTATCAATAACATGTATGTTACAACCCAGTATTTTTTATACGTTTTATAAACAGAATAAATATCTCCATTATACTTCAGCGAGTAATGACTGAGAACGTTTATTACATTACTTTTATGCATATCAAAGAAGAGTATTTAAATTCAAGGACGAAACATTTTGCTATGAACAAGTAACAATTTAACTGTTCTTTCAAATAAATGTAAGTAAATTGCTACACGTTAATGTTGTTTGTTACTTATTATTCAAATAAAAGTTATCCCTTATTAGCTCTTTTGTTTTCCTTCTAAATGGTACAACGGGTACAAGGTGCAAGGTACAAATCAGTACAATTGAGTACCATTGTGTACAATTAGGAAATGTTTAGATTGAATGTAAATATCAATGACGATGCATTATAGCCTATAGACGTTTTCGAAATAGGGCGATTACAGTCAAGGATATTTAATACGATATTTCGCGATGCGTGAAAACAGTAAACATTTTACTGTTTTCTATTTAACAGCCAAAGTTTGTTGAAATTGTGATAAAGATTTCTCTATCCAGCTGTTTTGAAGTTGTGAAAGTACAGTAATACTTACAACTACTCTGTAACCATAAATTAATTCAAAGGTTTGATAGTTGTGTATTAAATAATAGTTAAGGTAATAAGATACTATTGCAATGCTTTAAATTTACATTTTAATGTATTAATTACTCTATGTTATATATGCTATACATACATTCGTTTTATTCTGATAGGATAGTGAATCTACAATAGGACGAATCATGTTTGCAGTAAGAAGGATATTTAACCGTATGCAGATGCCCCTATATAAAAGTTATACAACAAATTCGAAACTCGTTGAAGTAACACATGAAGATGCTACAGGTAAATGTCTTAACATTAATGTTGGTTTTTGTTTCCATTTTAGATAAAATGTTTATTTCATAGGTATTACTACAATATCAATGGCACGTCCACCTGTAAACTGTTTAGATAAAGCACTAGCAGATGCTTTGACGACATCATTAATGGAAGCCCAGAAAAACCAGTCCAAAGGGGTTATACTGACATCTTCATTGCCAAGTGTGTTCTCTGCAGGATTTGACATAATGGAGATGTATAATCGTAGTGAAAAATACCTAACCGAGTATTGGACCCTACTGCAGGATATGTGGTTAACTTTGTATGGCTTAGAAATACCTGTAGCTGCTGCTATTAATGTATTATTTTCTGCATTATTAGCAAAAACTATTACATAACGTATAAATAATTTATAATAAATGCATGAATATTCATAATATAATTTCAATTGTAAAGGGTGCCAGTCCTGCTGGAGGTTGTATGTTAGCAATTTCTTGCGAATATAGAGTTTTAGTCGAAGGGAAACATACCATAGGATTAAATGAAACAAAATTGGGAATGTCTGCACCAATATGGATTAAAAATCCTTATATTGATACAATAGGATATCGTAAAGCTGAATTAGCACTATTAAAGTAATTCATTATTCGTACATACATAATTAAATACTGTATTAACAATAGCACTTTTAATTGATTAAAAAATATTAATTTAGGGGAACTCTATTCCAACCCAAAGAAGCACTAGAAATTGGACTCGTAGACGAGTTGGTTGCAGATAAAACAAGTGCAATCAAAAAGTGTGAAGAATATATAACAAGTTTTAAAAAAATACCTGGTGAGTTTAATATTTAGTTAAATATCTAGAAATATAAGAAAACATTAAATATTAACTTTCAAAATGTTGATAAAGCTCTAGGTCTACGTACAACGAAAAAGGTATTGCGAACAAATAATTTGCTTTGGTTAAAAGAAAATCGAAAGACTGATCTAAATAACTTTTTGGCACTTATTCAAGTACCATCAGTGCAAGCAGGACTTAAGTTGTATATTGAATCTTTAAAGGAAAAATGATAAGTATCTTTTACAATAATACAATTTTGATACATATTAATTTGAAAAAAATTTTTAATTGTTACACAAATATTTGTAAATTATAACGTTTTATATTAATATGTTATTATTCAATAAAAATGTAATTTTTAAAATATTTGCTCTTATATTATTTTAATTCTTACGTGGCTACTATGTTTGTAGATTCCACAAGACATTAAGTATCCAGAGCTTGAATGGCTTCTGAATCATGAATATTTAAATTCAATTGTTGTAATAATTGTAACGAAGAAAATTCCATTTGCTGTGAATCCGCAAAGTGTGAGATTTCTAATATTTGTTGATTATTTCTTTCACTTTCGTCTCTGTGAAATCAAATTAGTTTGCTTCTATACTTTAAAAGAAATATATAATAAAGTAAATAACTTACTTTACTAATTGCTCTGTATATTCCTCTAGCCAATTTTTTATTCTATTTAACATACTATCTTCTCGGGCATCTATTGTCTGTAATTGAAACATAATTTTATTTCCCGAATCAATTAAAAAATTAAAAAATTATTAATACATACCTGTAAATGTTTTTCATGGGAGTTGGCAAGATTGTATGTTAAAATATCTTTATCACCACATAAATTTACCAAATGTTTTGGTATTTTTGAATCATCACCAAAACCACTTAAATAGTATAAAATTAATCCATTAATAGTGTCATTATATTCTGCCTCACGATTTCGTAATTGTGAGAAATGTCCTCGTACGTTTGTTACAAAAGAATCTACCATGTCAGAAATGTTAATTCGGAATACTTCATTTATATCCTTTGCAAAACATATGAGTTATTAATATTTTCATTTATTTATTGTTTTATAGATAATTTTATATCTTCATACAGACCAACATACTTCTACTTGTTCGTGTAACTCAACTTCAAGGGACATCAGGTTTTTCCAACCATCAGTTATCACATCATTAAATTCATCAGAAAGTTGTTGTACCTTTTGAGTTATTTCTTCGAGCACAGCACTATCTATATCACCAACTAATTTTTTTAGTAAATACTTAACGCTCGTTAAAATTTCAGTTTTCTTTTGCAGAATGTCATTTACGATCCTGTGTTATGAGATAACAACAAAGTCAGTACCAATGTATTAATGAAATTGTTAGTATTACTTTCATTTCATACATGTATATGTATATCATAAAAAATGACTTACTTTCTGCCTTGGTCCTGTGTAGCTTTCTTACCTTCGTTAACAGCATTAGTAAAAAGGTTTATTTCGTAAGTTCGTTTTTCATGTTCTTTCAAACCTACTTCACAAAGCTCTTGACACATTAACGAAAAACTTTCTTTATATTCTTCGTAAGCATTTTGAGTTTCTTCATTTACCATAGTTAATTCTATCCCCTCTAAATATAAAATTAGTGGAATTAAATTACTTTGTGTCTTTTTCCTATTTATACTTGGAATTTTTACATATGAAAATGAATTTATAAACCTTTATCATCTGCAAACATTTGTTGAAAAAGGTAATCTCCATCAAGATGTTCCACGTATGCACTAGTAAGAAAAGCTAATTTTTCTTCATATCTTTGCTGTTCATCTAATTTTTCTTGTTCTTTAGCTTCTGTTTCTTCTAAAGTAGTTAAAGCACGACTAAATAAAGTAAGAATGTATGCTTAAAATATGGAGATTCTGTGTTTGTATATTATTTATAATTTTATAATTACTAATGTTTTTTTTTGGCTGCTAATCGTTCTTCATCGATTATTATTTTATATTCATAATAAATTAATTGAGGCATGAATGCGAATACATAATCCAAGTATCCATCTTCTTTGGTACAAGGATTTCCATTAATATTGAAACTGCGTAGTTTCTTTAACTTTCTTAAATAAAGTACCTAAAATAACAATTTTGTAGCTACAGATAGATGCAGATTTAATTGCAAATAAAAGATAGTTTATAATATATATTACATGTTCCCAATCTGCAATGGCATTATTACCAATGCTAAAAATTGTTAGATTACATAAATTATCTATTCCTTCTATTTTACTAATTTCATTATTGTACAGAAGCAATATTTCCAAATTCGTCAAATTGTTCAAATTTTTCATTATTCTAATATGATTAAAAGACAGATCTAATTCTCTTAAATGAATAAGAGTATCTAGATTTTCTATTGTTTCTATTATATTATTGGACAATTTTAATTTAACAAGATTTGGCATTACCCAGAGGTGATCGATGTTTAAAATATCTAAAACAAGACATGAAAACTAGTAAATGTAAAATGAACTCAATTATACGAGTATCTACATTACATACTAAGAAATTCGATTTGAATTTCCTTTGTTTCATTCAAATTAATTCCATCTTCGTAGAAAAGTCTCCCAGCTTCTCCCTTTGGTCCTTGATCGATTATTAAATTTATAAGCATATCTTGATTTATTGTACGAGGTTGCACGAATTCTTGAAGAATAGTAGGAACATCTTCTTGAACGAACATTTTCAAATATTCTTTTTATGAATCACGTATAATGAATCGACAAGAATATGAGTTTATGAGACTTTGTGTCGCATAGGAGGCATTTGGAGGTATTTTGTAGTTTTGTTTGGTTGCTAGGAAATCAAGTTTATTATTCAATTACTGACTCATAGCTTTCTTCACATGTAATTATATTATTATACGTGTTGTAAAGGGTTTTCCAAAAGGTTTCAGGGTTTCAGGATTTCATTTTGTAATAACAAAATACTCTTTTCAGAGTAATCATGACGTATACTTAAACATAATTTTTTACATTTAATTGTAGTCATATATTCTTTTATTTAAAATAAAACAATCGGATATATTCTATATTATTTGTGTTTTATTAAAAAACAAAATTTATGGTATATTTTCCTAATTATTTTATTGTGTTACTATAGCAGTTGTATATTATTCTATTATACTTATTTTATTATATTTATTAAATCGTATAGTTATTTTATTGTACTACTATTACATATGTAATACATATATAATAACATATGTTACAATCTTTTATGCTACTTATACTACTTATTAGATTATAAGAATTCTTCAATATTCATAAGTATAAAATAATCGTTCCTAAGGTGTAAGAATCTATTTACAATTCAAAATGCAATGTTTATCCAGTTTCAGTTTAGATTTATTTAAAAATCTACAAACAATTATTTAAGAGCTTCAAAAGAGGGAATGCACACAAGAATGCTACGTATGTAAAATTTAAATCTTTGTACATAATTGCATTCCTTTTCTGTATCAATAACGCATAATTAATATTCGAGACCCTCTGATCTCTCTGATCTTTAATTAATGTAGACAGCGGCCATGTTTGTATTAAAAAGAACCCCATCGCGCTTCTCTGGCTTGAGTTCTATAGTCTCGCTAGATAAAGTATATAACTTTTGTAAATACATACAATTTGCAAAGACTTACTTATCTTTCAGCCTCAAAACTTATCGATAAACTAATCTCGATTCGAAAGGATTGTTTTTGTTCTTTAAACCCCGGAGTAAATTGCATACTGGAACATAAAGTTACGACCAATCATAATACAATACATTAGAGGTACATATGATTGGTTGGTGTTTCTGACACTTTGACGTCTACCTTTATCGTTGTGCGGGGTCATATGATACTGTCATTCAGTGGAACAAGAAAGTTGTAAATTATTATCATATATTGTTTCTAACAAAATTTGTAACGTGCCTTATATATGCACAATTAAGTCATAGCAACGTTAACGAATCTTAATACAGTTTCATATATTGCGCAACAATGTCATTTTTTGGGGTGAATGTTAATCCGTTTTCAACACCAGTAGGCCAGAAGATAGGTAAATTTCTTATTTACATTTAATAATTATTTCACTACGATTAGTTCAACACAAATGGATAATCAATTTATAAGCGTAAATCTTATAGAGTATTACCTGTATGTTAGTAGATACGAATGTTTATATGACTATCAATTTCTTCTATGTGTGTATCATATCAAACGTCTATAATGTCATGATGCATAACTTGGTAAACATTTTATATGAAAAAAAGAAAAATGATAATTAATGGTGTATATATTATCGCAATTTGTTTATTCCAGAACAAGCTACAGATGGTAGTTTGCCAAGTGAGAATTGGGCACTTAACATAGAAATATGTGATATAATAAATGAAACAGAGGATGGGCCAAGAGACGCAATTAAAGCAATTAAGCGTAGGCTCAATCAGGCTGTAGGAAAGAATTACACTATAGTCATGTATACCCTTACTGTTAGTACTTAAATATTTGGAAACATTTACATTTTACATAAAATATATATATAATATGATGAAATTTCTTTCTATAATTAAATAGTGATACAAGATATTTATTTTTTTATTCACTTGTTAAAGTAAAAAATAAATTTGTTAAAGCTTTCAGTTTTTATATAGCGCAAGTTGCATCATAGATAACTGTATTTATTTATGTATCTATAATTTTCAACTGTGTACACTTAATGTTTTACATTTTTTTTTTATATTCCCTTATTAAATTAATCATAGATTTTCAGATTAGATTATTAATTTACAATAAATAATCATACATTATTTTAATGCAATGACATTACTGTACTAGGTATTGGAAACATGTGTAAAAAATTGTGGGAAACATTTCCATGCTCTCGCTTGTTCGCGAGAGTTTGTACAAGAATTGTTTAAATTAATTGGACCAAAAAATGAACCACCCACAGCAGTACAAGAGAAAGTTTTAAGTTTGATTCAATCATGGGCAGAAACATTCCGTCACCAACCACATACTCAAGGTGTTGTTCAAGTTTATCAAGAACTAAAATTAAAAGGCATACAATTTCCAATGACTGATTTAGATGCCATGGCACCCATCATTACTCCAGAGAGAGTAAGATTATTATAATATCATAAACAATAAATGTAACATAATATTGCATTTTTTATTGTCATTAATGTTGCAGAGTGTACCTGAATCAGAACAAAGTATTATAAATGTATCTGCAACTGAACTGCCATCGGTAACTCCTTTGGCAACGCAAGTCCAAGTACCTCAAAATCAATTGTCAGGACAAGTAACCCAATTGAATGAACAACAATTGGCTAAATTACAAAGTGAACTTGATGTTGTACAAGGGAACATGCGTGTTTTATCAGAAATGTTGACATATTTTACAAGCCCAGATCAAAGCAACAATCAACAACCAGAAGCAGCAGACCTTGAACTTTTAACCGTATGAATATAACTTATTTGTTTTCTGAAGAGTAGGAAATATCTTTTTCGCTTTAAATCAATATTTAATTTGTACAATTGTAAAACAATAATTTGATATCACTTTAAGAATTTTAATGTTTGCAGGAACTTCATTCCACGTGCAAAGCAATGCAAGAGCGAGTTGTTGATTTAATTGGCAAGTTAGCACACGATGAAATGACAGCAGAATTATTACGTATCAACGATGAATTAAATAATTTATTTCTGCGTTATTCACGTTATACGAAAAATAAAGCAGTAGCAGCAAGCACTATTTTGGCACAAACAATTGGTCATCCACAAAATGTGGATTCTACTTCATCAACTAATAAACAAGAAGCTGATTCTCTTATAGACTTATCTGATGAAACTGATGCTTTGGAAAAGCAAATGACAGGAATGGGTATGCATTATATGTCTATATATACACATATATCTATATAGGATAAATCAATCATAATTATCAGCTGAAACCACTTGTACTTTTAATTATAACAAAGACTGTTTTATTTCTTAATTCAATGTATCAGTAACAGATAACCTTGATATAACCTTGACACTTCTTTTAATTTTGTTTGTTTGTAAAGCGATTATAATTTACAGTTAGTAATGGCTAGCTCCTTGTATTCACCAATTATTATTGTGACTTATTAATCTCACTTTGTGATCACTTTGATAAATTTAATTATATTTGCCTTTTTACTGGCTAATATATAGTATTAAAAAAACATATAATGCTGTTTAAAAAATTTCGAAAAATACAAAACATGAAAATAACGAAGGGCTTCTATTTTGTAAATGCCTTCAAATACAACATGTCTCGTATAAAATAGTTTTCACATAGCAGTTGTATTTCTAGCGAATAGGAGATGTAATATAATATTTTGTATTGAATTACAGCTGTTTCTGAGAGTGGCGATAAAAGTAGGACAGGACGAAAGGAAAAGAAGGAAGGCGACAGTGATGAGTTTGATATGTTTGCACAATCTCGTAACGCGACTTATGAAACTACAAAGAACAGGTTTCTAAGATTAGATTGAGTTTCGAAATTTTTAACAATTGTAGATTGAATACTACTAACTTATCTTTATTACAGTGGTAGCAAATATGAGGATAATTTGGAACAGGTGAGCGGAGGAAGCCTCAGTACAGCGATACTCAATCGCAATAATCCTAAAACTCCCCAGCAGACTGCTTCTACAGCTGCTTCTACTACTGCTTCTTCTGTGCGTAACCCCTACCCTTACTATATTCATTACTGCAAAACATTAGTCAATACCACTATTTAAGTATTATTAATTATTTATTTAGTTAAAGAAAGATAAGTTTATTACAAGCACTAAAATATTTTTTACCAATTTTTATTGAATTTTATTGTTGCAATGCTCTACATTTTTCAATAATTCAGTTACAAATTGATACAAAGATCTTTAAAATTATCCAATCTAGAGAAAGGTAAGAATGCTACAATTTAATAACCTTTATGATACTTAAGCATCTTATTCTTATTAATTCGATAACTCCAATAGGAAATTGCTGCTTTCCTTTGCTATATAGCTTTTTAGAGCATGGAATGTTTTATTTTTTCTTATGTTCCCTTATGCTTTATTTTTTGCCTAGATATACTATATAATTTGTTTCGTATTTTGTTCGATGTGTTCGTTTTTATTTGTTTTCCTTGTGTTAATATTTAGCTAAACCGGGAATCTGAATTTAATGAAATGGCAGCCTGGTTAGACCACACGGTGAGTCATGTGCAATAATAAAATTAATTTTTTGAAAACAGGAACGTTTTAAAATTGCTTAACATTATTTTAATTTACCCAAACTCGAAATATTTTTAATTATGCTGTCTGATGCAACTCACCATTAAGCTAAAAATTTTTAACAGATAATTTTTTTTAGCCAGGAGCACATGGCGATCAAGAATCATTAACATCGTCCGAATTTGAACGTTTCTTAGCAGAAAGAGCTGCTGCTGCTGAAGCTTTACCAACTCTGCCTACAACAACTGCTGCCACTGGAAGTACTACGAATTCTGGCAATGCAAACATTCAACGTCAAATTAACAAAGATCAAGACAAATCTTTATTTGCTCTTTAAGGAGTGCTTAAACATTTGAGTTTTTTTACAGAATGTAGAAATGAATGTTGAGTTGATCGAATCATCACATACCTCTGTCTAATAAATAAATGTTTCTATTAACACTTGATATTAGGAGCAATGACAAAATAAATCAGAAACAAAAGAAAGAATTAAGGAAGGGAACGTGCTTTGCGCTTACATGTACTTAAGAATGTAATTGATACCACACGATCGTAAATTATCATTTCTGTATGTTGTAAAAATTAAATAACAATGAATAACTTATTTTACGATTAAAATAACCGTAATACGCGTAAACATTATGTAATACTAAAATAGGAATACTAATTTATGTTATATGTATATAAAAAACACATTGTATTCAAAATAACATATATATCACAATGTGTTATGTCATGCCTTGAAGCTATATGAAAAGTATAATACACTTGCATTTTTTAAATTTGCAGATTCAAATGCAAAGAAATGAATATTTCATTAAATAATTGACTTCATCGAACTATAGATGGAAGTATTTTTCTATGTTAAATTTAATTGTGTCCCGATTATTCGTTATTCTATATAAATATGCTATGTAATTACTATCATAGTACTTTTGATTTTTATAAAAGTATTATTATTATTATAGAGTAATATATTATTATTATTATTATTATTATTATTACTAGAAGTGTTATAATTATGTACTGATATTGCAAATAATTAATATATTCTGAAATTATAATATAGGAATACGATTGGTAATAAGGAATTTAATGTTTGTGATTTTAAGTATCATCTTATTTTTGAAAATATGCCCAATGTCATAAGAAGCATCAATATACGTTACATAATTTTTAAAATGTGATAAAAATTTGGAAGATAGCAATTATACAACATTGTGTTTCAATATTTGATTTTATATCACATTTTTGCTAAAAATATATTACTTTTGCGAACAGTGCAAAAATCATCACAGTACTGAACGTATTCAATTTTATTACTGCAGAACATATGAAATCCTGAATGTTTTTCATATATATCAGGATTTTAAAAAAAGCCTAAATTTCTTTATGTGAATGGCATTGATAGTTTACATGTATAAGTAAACTGAATCAAGCTTGTAAATTATATACTTCCAGAGTTATTATTCCGTTTCATATAATTATTTCATATTTACACAAATGAATTTGTACTTCTAGAATTACAAGTTTGTTAAATGCTATGGATCATTTGTTTATCCATAACAAAGATTTCCTAATATTCCCAATGTGTTAATGATAATTTGTTCATACGAAAAAATGAAATTACGATTCGTAGAGCTAAACAATATAACAAAATATGTATTGTGCAAAACAGTAATACTGCGTTATCCTTGGGATTACAATTATATAAATTAGTACTTGATATTATATAATTATTAATTTAAAAAATTTGTAAATCAATGAAGATTGAAAAACCTTTTACTTATAGTTAATATCAAATTTATATTAATGACATCTCTACAGTTCGAATTATTTTGTTACTCGCTAGTAAAATACATTATCATGTATTACATAAGAATGTATGAAAGAATTTTATAACAACGAAGATTCTATTTTTCTTTGATAAAATTATAATTTTTGATTAGCATTAAATACACAATTATACAATCTGCTTTATAACAATATTGGTATTAAAAGTAATTAACTAAATAAATCTGAATATTTTTTTTAAAATGAAGCAATTTTTTAAATATATTTAAATAAGTATACCTTTTCACTAGTAGCGATAATGAATGGTCAATTGTTTCCAGTAGATCATCGTATGTAGTAAGAATGTACGCAAGTATGCACGTATACTTACATAGGACTTTTTCAAATTTGTTCCATTGATATGCATATATGCATATGTCCCTGACTACATATATATATTTAGTGCAAGCGATACCAGGAGCTAAGGTCACGTGGTTCACCCATCGTGTATTTCATGCTGATCATTTCAACCCGTGCGGTTGATCCATTCGGAAGTGTTAGGAGTTTCTCGAAAATTACTTCATTCTAAACTAAAAACTTAAGATAATTCTCGGATGGTCTGGCATCGCAAATCGAGTACGCAGTTAATTTTGTGCTCTTCTCACGAGGAATATGTATACTGTATCAAAAGGACCTAGCAAAATTGTCGCCAAGACACGAAGAGGTACTAGTATCCGAAGTATGATTATATTTTACATGCGCTCGAAAATGTAAACGATCGTGACATCGGTTCTATCGAAGACCATCGTTTTCCAGGAATCAGTCAAAATCTCGAAAGGCTGGAAACCTTGCGCGATTTAACGAGAAAAGCGGATCCCGATGATGACCACGAGACCACCCGGTAAGTAGTGCCCTAACCCATCTTAACCCTACTTCGTTCCTTTTCTCCCTCTCTCTTTGTACTTTAAGCATTACGCAATTCATAATTTTCCGACAAAAACAAACAGATTTAATCTGTATGTCATAATTTTTGAAATATATAAATTGTAATTCACGAAATGACGTGCATAAATATCATATACTTTAAAAATGTTTACATAACATAATATAAGAATATTTCTGTATGCTTCTACATATAGTAACATCAATGTTAAATTTCACAGCCATGTGCCCAAGCCAGTCTTTCACATGAATGGAAAATCTAAACTCAATTCACAAAGGCATCAAATGCAAGAAGTTATTACACCACAACATGAGGAACTTATTAAATTTGTTTATGAATGTATGTATTTGTTTGTATATAATTTTAAAAATTATAAAAAAGTTAGACAAAATAATATTGACTTTAATTCAATAAAATGCAAAAAAATGCAACTTGTAAAATCTATACTGTATAATTTATCCAATATTGCATAGTTTTATCAAGTATATTATGTTTATACTTTTTATTTGTTAGCATGGAATCAAGTGAATACAAGGCAAAGAAGCGAATCTTCAGATGGTTCAGATTGTTCAGAACCCTCCAGTAAGTGATATTTAAATGTTGTTAATGAATTTTACATATTCCTTCATTTTTGTTTAAATATATCCAAATATTTATAATTTTACTTATATAAAAGACTGCATTTATCATAGAACACTTTAAAATTTTATAAAATACTCGTAATTAAATTATAATATTTTCTATGTTTCAGGTCCTAATTCTATAGTATACTATAATGATGGTGAACCAAATGATAATCTACAAGGTTAGTTATTCTATTTTTTTTTTTTCAAATAAAAATAAAAATTTTGGTGAAATATTAAATATTATAAGATAAATGAAATGATATTCTTTCTGTTTTAACTACAAATTATGATGTTTCAGACTTTAAACCATTCGATTTGGAATCTTGGTGGGGTAAACGATTATTTAACAATATTACAAAATCGCTTTGAGAAAAAGAGAAACTTATAAAAGTTATGAAGATAAATCTTGAAGTAGTACAGAATGGCAGACAGTGCAACAAATTAGCCTGCATTGTGTTTTAAATGCAATATAAAAATCAATGAATAATTGCATAGTGTTAAACTGGAAGTATAGAAATGAACTTGGTTTGCTGATTATTATAGAACTACAATTGATGAATTTAAAGCCTCATGTAATACACATACAACATATTCATTGCAATGAATTATACATTTTTTTCATGAAATTATAAACAAAATTTTTTAATATATGTGAATCAACAAGGTTAAACTTAATCACAACAAATTTTATACACACGTATACATACTATACATACGCATGATAGTATTCCTTTTTGTTTTTTAATTTTAAAGAATCCATGCTAACAATGATTTGCATTGCATGAATATGCATTTTTATCAACAGTGTTATTGAATACGTGATGCAACAATATAAATTGAACATTTTTTAAATATTGCTTCGTATTACTAAAGATACTCCGATTTTAAGCAGTGTAAAAGTGTACAGAAACTTTTTTTAAATATAAAAAAAGTGCGGAATTCGATTTATATAAAGAAATTAACGAAATACAAAATATTGTCATCAATCTCGTCATTACGAAACGATTAGAAGTTTTTAAAATAATGAAAGGTGAAAATATAGCTGATAAATGCATACCAAATAGAGTTAAGTATATACAGCAATCGCTGCGTGGTATGAATGCAGCGTGAAAATAATGGATTTTTAATCATAGAGTGATGTACATATTACATGCATTGTTTGTGGGAATGCATGATACTTTGCTGATATTGTTATGACAACTGTATCTAAATACTTTTATGTAAACAAAAAGTTTAGTATAACTTTGTAGACTGATAATGTTTAAGATTGTCATACGATCAACAGACAAGAAGAAGCTTGTCGCTAATGTACTTGCAAGCTTTGCTTACAAAATGTTTATTTCACGTTGATCTCGATTAATCTTTGCTAAGTTCTGTGCATTGTTTAAGTTATATTTGCACACAACAACTTTATGAGTAAAGAGTTGGGCGTGAAATGAATATATTAACAAGTAGAGCTTGCAAAGGTAGTCAAAATGTAGTGCAATATTTGGCCATACAAGGCTGAATTATGCAATTATAAGTAAATACATCTTTATATATATACTACGATTTTCTTTTTGATTTTTCTAATTTCATCGACTATTATTATTTCAGATTTAAACTCATGCTTTTTTACATTGTTGACTGAAACAATACACATAAATAAATATGAGAAAAATAGCACATTTGTTTAGTTCTTTTTTTATGACAGTTTTTAAATTACTATTTCATAATACATTAATTTATATGATTGAGTAATACCAAAAGCCTGTTTCATTGCAAACAAGAAGTTTAATAAAATTGCTATTTTTATTCCTTTTAGTAAAAGCAATATAAAAAATGACAAATAATGAAAATGAAATTTCAGTTTCAACTTTCAAACTTTTTACTGAGTCGTTATTGACCGATTTGATTGGTTGATCCGACAATAAACTAATTTGATTTTAATGTACCATGAGAAGCACTGTTTACCCTATTAGGTAGAACTTTAGCTCTTCTCTGAAATATAACAAATGTATACAGAAGAAAGTTGAATTACACAATGACAACTGTTTTATTCAAGTGTACTATACACTTACTGGCACTTGGACCAATACATCACGTACACAAATTACATTTAACTTATCTTTCCTTTTTTCGAAATTTTTTGATCTTGCTGTTTAAAAACACATGGAGCTTATATCAGTTTTTAACAGCACTCTGTACAATATGCTTCCTTTTGTCTTCTGAAAGCTTACAAATTCACATTCGCGAACCTTTTGAAAAATACCGATACTTTTGTTTATAACAAAATGTCAAGACTTGATTCTTTCAAAATTCCGACAAACTTTGCATACAGATTAATTTTTGTGCAAAAATACCAATTTCCAGTCTCAAAAACATAGGGTTACTGATTTCCTTCCTTCCTTCGCCGCCATTGTTGTCACCAGTGCTGTATGTATATATATATATATATATATATATATATATATATATATATATATAAGTATGTTTTTTTGTTGGAACAGAAAATTTATTACGTAGAATATGTAAAAAAAGTGTGCCATGTTCAGAGATTTTTAAATATAAAAAATAAAAAGATAAAATTTGTCAAGATATAGGAATTCCATACATATAAATATTTTTATTTTTTTCACCTTGAGTCCAATGTACAACGGCTCCTTCGTTTTATAGGGGTGTACATGTCACGTGATCTCTCCGATTTGGCCGGTCGGTATACAACAGATTTTTCTGCATAGAAATGGTAATACCCACAGATACATGACTGCCCAATGAAAACGAGATGGCGCTATCTTCTATTTCTCTATTTTGTTCTGCATGTCAGTGCTGTAACAAGGGCGTGGCGAAGAATAATTTCTTGTGGCTAAAATAAAAAATACTGTGTACGACTTACTTTTAAAAACATCTTAATGTAACTAATATAAATCAATTAAAAAATGCAATGTTTGAAGATTTTTGAAATTCGCATAACTTTCAAAGTTACAGGTATATAAAATATCCTTCATAATTTGAAACTTTAAACATTCGAAATAAACATAGGAAAAGTGGGTTTCCAGTCCTACATGTACATATACTTTAGACATATCACCGATTTTATTAGCGAAGAATTTATATTTTGTACTATCCTTTTCAACCTAGCTGACGGTAAAGTAACATCCCGCAGGTATGCGCGGGCACGTCGCGCGTTTTCAAACCTTTGTGCGTTCGAACTTGTACGCGGTCCGTTGACGTATTGCTCGGTCCTTGGTGCAAGTGAAATAAAAAATATTGCCGAGCAGAAACTGCCACCGTCATAAAGTCTACAATGACGGTCGGCTATTGTTGTGGTTGTCCATTGCGTCTACTACCGAGCGGATCAATCTGTATTTTCAATAAGTAAAATCCTTTTACAAATTGCTGATCCAATCATGCTGCAATTTGTTAAAAGATACTCCCTAAACTTAATATTACACACATACCATCCAAGGAAGTGGAAACTTCTGGAATAAAAAAATTAAAGAAACTGGAAAAATTGAATCTCCTTGAAAGAAAAATATTAGAAAATAAAAAGTAATATTTTTCGTCATTATTATTAATTTGATAGCCAGACTTTCAGAATGTTGTTCGCCACGTATGTATATATATTTCTCTGTGCTAGTAACCAAGAGTTCACAGTCTCTGAAGTATCTTATATCTAAACACGATCTTTTCTCATCTTTTCTTCCCTTCGGATTTCGTCGCACCGGAAAGCGGCATTATCATTCCAATGCATAATTATTCCTAGAAATAATTTAATAACTTATTGTAATAAAAAGAATAATAGTAATATGTAAACAAAATTGCCTGGCCCGATTAGATTACCTATTAATTGCTTCCTCCCATATATTTCATACGTGAGATGTCGTTTATGACTGCCTCGATGGTGCGCGACTCGATGTATAGAACAACTTGATATTGCCCCTGGCACGATCGGTCGTTATATACATGCCTAAAAACACTACATTGTCAGCCTAAAAATACACAAAATTTATTTTAGAATTTTGATTTTCGTATTATTTAAACAAAAATTTATTTTACTTAAATAATTTTCAGCTGCTTAAAATTTTCAAATTTTTTAAATAGAAAAACTTTAATTATTACTTTAAATAAAAGACAGTATATTTATTGTTTCTAAAGATAACACTTGTTTTCGACGATATAATATAGGCATCGTCAACAAGTGTGTGTAGACACAAGGGTGTTGGAAAGATTCAATAGAACCTCTGTCGTTCGTCTCTGTGTTTACATTCGCGGAGTCCACGTGCGTTTCGTGAACATGGTAGCAAAGGACGACGCTGTTTACGCTTTACTAACCTTAAAGTCGACACTTTAGTCGTTTGTCATCGCAATAGACACAGTTCGCGAACGTAGAATACACACCAAAAAAAATTCTTTATCGACATCGACGATACGTTAACTTTCGTTCTCACCACGTCCATGTGTTTCGAGATCTTGGCCAGATGGAACACGTATACATAGACAGCACCTTAACAACACTATAACGAGACAATAGAACAGTAACAATTTTGAAATAAAAGAGACGTTACGAAGAGGGAATAAACAAACCTTTCAGATGAATTGTATAATAAGTGTATAATACATGTAGTATCAGTGTATGATACTTAGTGATTCGCATTGTGTTCAAACTGCGATATCCAGCGGAGACAGTGCGAATTAAAAATTAAAGAAAGCATAAAGAGTTAGTTCGGACACATACACTTGTTCATCTCGAGATTATCTAACTAGGTATAGTGGGGGAACAATGACCACTGTCCCTATGCAAACAATGTCACTAGATTTACATATTTCATTGTATAAACAATTTTGCAAAAATATTTTAAGTAGTGATTTTCTGAACGGGATATGACTTTATTGTGCATTTTGAGCCTAAAAAGTGATTCTAGGATTCAAATAAATTCGACTGTCAAATTTTTTCGAAACACTTAGGCTTTTCATCAATCTTGGAAATTCAGTTCCGACGAAACATGGAAAAAGTTACAGGCAATATTGCATTTTACAGAGGTAATTAAATATGAGGAAATTAAATTTTAGTTTGTTTTTTTTATACATTTTGTTAATTTTGCAATATTAATTTGTTTAGTCGAGGTGTTCAGACTGTCGTGAATAGATCAGCGGATCAACCAATCACGTTATTGTCTTTCGATGTATCACATCGTTCTCCCCCACCACGCCCACGTCCGCCCCATCCCCAACGCTCTAAGACGGGGAGTTAAACCGTTCTTTTCCGCCCGGCGTCTCGAGGTGAGTGCACGTGTTTTCCGATCACCTAATTAATTACCATATATACTTCCGAGATTCAAATAATCGTTGCTTCGGGTTGTCATCGTTCCTCTATATCGTGTAATACCTAGTTATAGTGCCGATTAACGTGTGTTAACAACTATCGATTTTGCAATTGACGCGAAAAAATCGAAATCGATTTCGCGGATTTTCTACAACGTACCAATGGACATGCATACACCCTTTCGGATTGCATCAGACTTTCCGCGAGCTAATTTTAATAAATTTATTGCTCATTCATAAATGGTAGTGTACCGGATGTAACTATTTCTTTCGAATTTTGAACTTTTTTTTATAATTTTCAATGTTCGTTCTGAATTTCGATAACCGACGCGACGCCATTATTGCAAAGGTCTATTCGATATATATTTCGATCGAGACTTTTAGAAGCAACGATTCGTTTAATATTGCATTGAAATAGTGAAATAGTGAGTCAATTAGCATTTCTTATTGGCGAATCAATTCTTTCAGTGCTTTTAACACGCGATTTCCTTTTGATTCTGCAATTACCGCGGAAAAATTCAAATTTATTTCTCAGAAAGTTCCATTTTGTACGAAGCGACAAGTGACGTGCAATTGACGAAATGTTTCGATTGATTCGATATCAAATGTGTACTTTGATTAAAATAATAATATATTTTTTAAACTTTCATAATATTTTGAAAAACTTTTTTATAAATCTATTTATAAAACTGTTTTCAATTAACTTGTTGCTAATGTGCTCTAATGAAGTCTAACTTTGGACCTTTCCTTTTGTTTCCAGAATTCTTGATTGCCAATTTCCACGACGCCATTAGTACGAAAGGACGACGACGGTCACTGCAAACGTTTAAAGGAAAATTGGGTATAATGTAATATAATTAATTATTTACAATAATGGTAATTCTCAATATAATTATTAATCGTTATTATACCTTACATTTAGAATAAAATTAAATAGATGTCTATAATACTTACTAGATTCGGGGTATTACACAGGCAACACTTTTATTACAAATAACACCATGACTAACGAATAAGATTTTTTTTTTCAATTTTTCATTTCATTTCAATTTTGTGACCGCGCGCAATGCGGCCATTAGAATCAGTGTTTGCTTCGTAGATTTCTATCTTTTATTCTCATTTTCATGTTAGATAAACGCGAAGAAATAGAGTCAGTGTGTTTTGCGTATTAAATATTCATTTTAAAACATCATGATTTTTACTGCATTTTCAATCGCGTAATTAGAGTCAGTTTTTGTTCGCCGACTACAATTTTCGCGCGTTTACAGTTTTTTTTTTTTTTTTTTTAATCATATACTATATGAAATATATCGTTACCGGAAATAGAGTCAGTGACGGCGAGCCATCATTTCATTGAGCGGCGCTCTACGAGCCATAAATGTAAGTATCTAGACTTTATTCGGTTTTTTTATTAAAATTGCCAACGATTATAACGTTAAAAATAGATTCTTATGTTTTGTGTTAATTTTTGTAGATTTATAGACTACTACTCCAAGTACAACTTTTCAACTACTCCGATGGCATCAGTTGGCAGATTCTTCGGGCGTAACTACCTACTCCGATGACACCATTAGCAGAACCAACGTTCAGGCGATGAAGATTATTTGGCGGCTGGCGAGTTGCATGACGATTTTTGTTCCTCCGATCATCAAACCATGTCGTAGGACATAAAGGTCCGAATCGGCACTGGTGATCGGTTGTATACGTGCATTTTGGCGAGTATAGTGATCGCGGGTAGTCATGCTACCCGTGAGTACTAACATTTGTTGTTTTATTTATTAGTCCAGGATAGGGTCTTCTTGCACCTCGCGTTTTCTATTAATAATGTATTATTTTTTACATAGTATTTTTTAAATAAAAGTCTTGAAATGCTGATAATTTATTTGGTGGTACTATTAAATTAAAATTTAATATCCACTATACGTATAATATTATGAAATATACAATATTGAAATATTAGAGTGTTTCAAAGTTGTTCAGGCTACACGTTCAAATAGAAATTGAACGTGTACAGTAATAAGTATAAATTAATTCCGTTTAAATTTTTCCAATACGTGCAAGAAGGACGCTTCGCGATAGGTCGATTCCTGCGTCAAAGTGAATCGACTTGTGTTCTTTCATAATTAAAAAATTTACTTTTACAAGGGAATCACCTAATAGAATACAAAGATGCATCATAAACTCTAAAATTCTTTTTTGAGAATTAACTCAATTTTTATTAAATTCATTCTTCTTTATAACTAAATTTTTTATTATTAATACATTCATAGTTTTCAATGTTAAATTTTTATACATTAAAAGTCGAGTCATTTTTATTGAGAACAAAATGATATTTAATGAAAAGATGCTAGCCCACTTAGATTTCATTAATTATTCTTTTTAGTGAGGACTTTCAGGTTAACCATTCCGTGTTCATTGCCTGAACTCATTCAAGTGCCCAGGTGCTACTTGCTTGAGCGAAGGCAAAGGGCACGATGACCTAATCTAACTAATCATATATGTTGGCGGCTGACATTGGCTAGTGTATCGTGCACGATGTATTTCCCACATGTGTGTGTTTGTGGTTAGGATGTGGGATTTGCGTCGGTAGAAAAATGTATACATCTTATGTTATATAATATATATATATGTATTTAAATATGTATATATATTTATATTTATATGATATGTATATTCATACACATATCGTTATTTTATTACATACATATAATTCATTAACGAAATGAAATGGAATAACACAATAGTTATATCATTATTCTTTTCAAATAACAAATTCAAAGTTTCATTTGCCATTATTTTACAAGAGAATTACGTTAATATTCGTTTTGTACAAACAATGATTATATCAAAGAAGTTTGTAGAATATTTACAAATATTATCCAATGGTCACTAGCCTTGTCAGACGATTTCAGGATTTTTGTTTATTAGAGTGTGCAAGTTGTATTTTGAACTCGGGTGTCGAAGACGTCCCGGGACGTTCTCTCTAGTTTAGGTTTTGCGCCCGGGTTCATGAATGAGAACCGTGGAGCGTGTGTGTTGGTGTGAATGAGTTTGTCATTTTTAGATTTAGGTTAGGGAGGTAGGTCTTTTCTTGGTGTGAATGTTAAATCCCATTAGTAGGGTCCAGGAACAGGGAGTCACTATTTAGCTGGGTAGGCGCGGTACACGGTGACACCTGTTTCTGTAGCGGGGTTCGAAGTATCGATACGCAAGCTGATTCGAACGAAGTATTTCGTTTGATTTTGCCGTTGCTTTTGATTCTTTGAACCTGCGACTTTATAGTCGCTTTCTTCGCGTTCGCGGCCGCGTATTAACTTCATCGAAACGCTCGTCCCGCTCGGTTACAGACGTGTGGTTCAACACAGGTTGAACGTCCACGTATTGCACGGAACCGAGCCTATTTCAGATTGGGCAATGCGCCCGAAGAAAGAAGAGGCTGAAAGCTGAAGAGGCCCTGACAAACTGTCGCAAGAGTGGGCAGCATCAAATGGCTCTCCATCTTCGGTTTCGAAGATTGAGAGTCATACTTGTTAGTACTTTATCACTATACTAGCCTGTAGTTGTAGTAGTCGTAGTTTTCTTTTCAGGTCCTGATCCAGAGTTGGGCGCATCGCGGTTTCCATTTAATGTTGCGAATGAATACAAATCGCGTTGCTAGTAGTGTTGCGTAAAAAGATTTTCGCGTTGCATTTCAGGGTAGTGTTGCGAATGAATACAAATCGCGTTGCAATTAGTGTTGCGAATGATTACAAATCGGGTTGATGTTTTGTTTTGCGAAAATGTTGCGAATATTTTTCGCATTTCATTTATCAAAGTAGCGTTGCGAATAAATATAAAACGGGTTGAATTAGTGTTCCGAGAGAATACAAAACGCGTTGCAATTAGTGTTGCGTGTAAATATTTTAATATCCAAGAAGAACTTAAAATTAGGCTTCAAGAAGAATGGGCATCGATTTCGACAGAATATTTAAAAAAAAATAATTTCTAATATGCCGAATCGATTGAGACATATTATAAAACAAAAGGGATTTCCAACAAAATATTAATGTGGAACATACAATGTTTTATTTTAATTAATAAATGTTATTCGTCATAGGGTCCGAATATTTTTGTGACCCGAAAATGCGGTATTCTTTCGTTTGTTTATTGCTATTATGTAATTTATGTAAATTTTTGGATTAATGTATAGACTATCTTTAATAACATTAATAAATGACTTGTTATTGCAAAAAGTAACGAAGACGATTGCTTTTTTAATAACTACGATATTAAGTCATAAAGCTAACCATATACTAGTGTCCGAATATTTCTGGGAGTCACTGTATGTATATGCTTATCATACTTGATTTCAATAAATGGATTTACAAAGAGAGATAAAATAGCAGTAGGACAAAAATCTATGCAAACATAACTTTTCATTAAGGACCTAAAAAGATAATTCCAAAAGTGAGGCAATAATGAAAATAAATTTGTGTATCGATCTCTTCCTATGCTCCGTCGACGTCGGTAAATGTAAGAATATTTCGACTTCGCTCAAATGGTAACAGTGCGTAGGGAAAGGATAGACATTGTTATCCCAGAATGGTAACGTCGCATATGTACCGACTTCCGGTTAGCAGCCCTCAGTAAGCGCCATCTCATACGAATTGCCTGAACTAAATTTCTTATCCTGCGTGCTCTGCCATTATCCACAAAATGGCGGAAAACTCGTCTTTGGGAATCTTTTTTCACGATTTTTTGCTTTTCGTTCTTATATTAACATATTTTGGGTTGAATGAGGGCTCATTCGAAAGAGGAAGGTCCAACGAAGGGTGCTCTGGTCATGATTTGTGTCACAAAATCCATTTAATAATATAAAAATACTTTCATTCTGCAGGTGTGTTTTGCTCGATTTTTGTTCGACTTTGGACGCACATATTATTAAATATCAACACACCCTCGACTAGTCATGACCAGAGCACCCTTTGTTGGACTTTCCTCTTTCGAATGAACCCTCATTCAGCCAAAAATATGCTAATATAAGGACGAAAAGCGAACAATCCCGAACCCCTTTGTAGGCCCATTTTTGGCGGTAATGTACACCTCGTTGCATTACCCGTGTCTTCCCCTTTATGAATTGATAATTAATGTATAACTAATCCATAATCAAGATCGTCTTTTTATGCATTTATAAAAATACGACAAAAATTGTTGAAAGTAACTTTGAGAACATTTAAAACAATACTTGAAACGTAAATGTTGTCGAAATATCATTTTAGGACACTTACGTAAATATATAAAAAAAATGATGTAAACAATCAAATCAACACCACAAGTGTTTGAACCCCTGTTTTGAGCCTTACAAGGAAAACTAGGGAGTAATATCGCTAAAGTTGGCGTTGCTACTAAAAAATATCCCTCTATGCAAATCCTGTAAAGTTTTGCAGGTTTTGCACAATTCTGAGAGTTCGTATCTCTATGTTCTCTTCAGTGTTTCTCTTGTAACAAAGTTGATCATATCAATCATATTCACTTGATAAACTGCAATAAATCTTTTCTTGGATGTAAACATCATCCACGTGCGGGCGTCAGTCTCATTATTGTTTTCTTTTGCATTTCCATTTCCATTCTTGTGGCTCCTCTCTTTAGGTTAACTCATAATTTTTTAAAAAGTTGTACCTTCAAATTTTGAAAAGTGTATGTGTACGACTATTCTTTTAGTTAAACTCAGTGCAAACATCCAATGGAAATGTTTTAAAAGTATATGATTTGTAATATATTTGTCATATTTGGAATTGCATTATTTATTTGAGAGACACTTTTGTGCGAAAGTATGTCTGAGGAACTGATAAATGAAAGTCTTTTGGGAATAGCAGCAGTACACGGTGGCTTAGTTGTGTTAGAAGATTGTCAGACAATTTTACGTAAAGATTATAAAAATATGATTGGACAAGTAAATAACTTGTTATGTTTAATGGAGAATCTTTTAATTATAAAGTAATGTTATATA